GGTGCCGTTGTTGATGTACGATTCGATGAAGGTTTGCCGCCGATCCTGACGGCGCTGGAGGTTATGGATAATCCGATAAGGTTGGTGCTGGAAGTGGCCCAGCATTTGGGAGAGAATATGGTGCGGACTATCGCTATGGATGGAACTGAAGGGCTTATCCGGGGTCAAAGAGTCCTCAATACTGGCTCTCCAATCACTGTAATTCCACCATACTTGCTTCTTCTGTGTTTGCATTTGACTCCATTTCTGTCCTATATTTCTCTATTGTGCCTTCATGTATACGTAAAATTGTTTCAGTATTTCCTTTCCCTTCTAATAAGTTTCTCCAATTTCAGGTGCCTGTTGGCAGGGCAACACTTGGCCGGATTATTAATGTCATTGGAGAGGCTATTGATGAGAAGGGTGATTTAAGTAAGAACATATGATATGTGAAATGTTGTTTTAATCCGTGATGTTTCAGATGTTTTGTTTTTTGTATGTCTTATTCTATTTCTAACTTTTTCTGAAATGTTCACCTTATGAAGAAACGGATCACTATCTCCCAATTCACCGAGAAGCTCCAGCCTTTGTGGAACAAGCTACTGAACAACAGATCCTCGTAACTGGAATCAAGGTGATACATATTTGAACCATATGCTATGAAACAATTCGGATTATTGTTTATGTTGCCGGGATTATTGATTCTGGAAAGAATTGTTTCAAAACATTTTATAACCCCTAACTATTTGCAGACTATGATTTCTTCTAATTTTAAATCTTAAATGAATCGATGGGTGGCTTATTCCATATCATAGAACTATTGGGAAGGAGTGTCTTATACCCCTTTACTGTTAACAGGTGGTTGATCTACTTGCTCCATATCAAAGAGGTGGGAAGATTGGGCTTTTTGGTGGTGCAGGTGTCGGGAAGACGGTGCTTATTATGGAGCTTATTAACAATGTGGCCAAGGCTCATGGTATGATGTTTAAGTTCACCATGAAATCAGATTTTGTCAGACCTATTGCAATCTTTTGTGTGTGTTTAAATTTTTAGTTCTTGCTTTGTTGATTCTCAGGTGGTTTCTCGGTGTTTGCTGGTGTGGGTGAACGTACACGTGAGGGTAATGATTTGTACAGAGAAATGATTGAGAGTGGTGTTATTAAGCTTGGGGACAAGCAGGTCCTTTTCTTTCTTTGCTTTGGTTTAGAATACATATTTGCTCTAAGGTTCTTTAGCTCTCTAACCTGGGTTGATTTTGCTTTTGTATTTGGTGTAGAGTGAGAGCAAATGTGCTCTGGTATATGGTCAAATGAACGAACCCCCTGGTGCCCGCGCCCGTGTTGGACTTACTGGGCTGACAGTTGCTGAACACTTTCGGGATGCTGAGGGCCAAGATGTGCTACTTTTCATTGACAATATTTTCCGGTTCACTCAAGTGAGCTACTTCCAAAGAAATCATCTTTTATGTTCTCCACTCCAATTGCATATGAGTTTACTAATGTGGTTGTCCTTTGCCTCTTGCCATGACTTAGGCAAACTCTGAGGTATCTGCTTTACTGGGTCGTATCCCCTCTGCTGTTGGTTATCAACCAACTTTAGCTACTGACCTTGGAGGACTTCAAGAACGTATCACCACGACTAAGAAGGGGTCAATTACTTCTGTCCAAGCTATCTATGTTCCTGCTGATGACTTGACAGATCCAGCTCCTGCAACCACCTTTGCTCACCTTGATGCCACAACTGTGTTATCCCGACAGGTATTTAGTATTCGTATTTTTGAGTAGACAATAGCAATTTGTCATGGCTGCTCTTCTCTTATGTTTAAATATGCAGATTTCTGAGCTTGGTATCTATCCGGCTGTTGATCCTTTGGATTCCACCTCCCGCATGCTTTCTCCCCATATCCTTGGCGATGACCACTATAATACTGCAAGAGGAGTACAGAAGGTACTCCAAAACTACAAAAATCTGCAGGATATTATCGCCATCCTGGGAATGGACGAGTTAAGTGAAGACGACAAACTCACTGTTGCTCGCGCACGCAAGATTCAAAGGTTCCTGAGCCAGCCTTTCCACGTGGCAGAAGTATTTACAGGTGCTCCTGGAAAGTATGTGGAGTTGAAAGAGAGCATAACAAGCTTCCAGGTACTCGATCTTTAGCATTGCCCTCAAAATGTATTTAGGCATATGATTCAAATGTTTAAAGTGGTAGGTGTTTGTGAGCAGGGTGTGCTGGATGGAAAGTATGATGACCTTTCGGAACAATCATTTTACATGGTGGGAGGCATAGATGAGGTGATGGCCAAGGCTGAGAAGATTGCCAAGGAGTCCAGTGGTTGATCACACACATCATGCTGCTGCTACATTTTTGTTTCGCTTTTTGCTTCTTCAGATAAGTTATATACTTGCCAGAGGCACTGAGAACACAAACCCCATACTGCTGCAGCTGCTGTTTTTGAATTTCGATTATATTGCATTTCCACCTGATCTAAGATTTCCAGGCTGGATCGGATGAGGATTCTTCCCTTCCATTATATATTATGTTGCAGATGCCAATAATTGAAAATATGTTTGCCTTATTTTTGTGCTACAAACTCTTTGCCGGAGTATATATATATTTGTTTGATTCACTATTGCCGAATGATAAGAATATCATCAATTATTTGACATTCTTAGTCGAGTTGGTCAGGTTGTTGATTTGATAATTAAATCCATAATCTTTGATTTACTTAATAGTCAGTTAGGACCACAAGGCGATCTTCTCTTAATCTTAGTAACTAGAGCTAGAGAAATGAATTATTAAAAAAAAATTGCCTCTAAATTAAACTCAAAGTGCAAATTCAATCCATAAATTATGGGAGTATATTTTTTATGTACAGAGAGTAGTGCAGTAGATTATACTACGGGGTAGTAGTGTAGTATAATTGATTAATGAGTATACGCAAGAGTGAGGTGTATATTAACAAAAATTGTAGAGTTGTGACGGTGAGATTCTTAAACTAGGTTCCATGTTCCATTATATTAAAGTTGTGGTGGCTTGGGAATTAGGAATTCCTCATTTTGCGTGAACAACCGTACCAAATGATTAGTGATTAGATTTAGATTAAACATCCGCATCACGCTGTGTAAGTAATTAATATAATAAATACATAATCCCATCACTATTTATTATTTATCTCGTGGGTCGTGACGCGGCAACCGCCTCGCGCGTAAATAACCTTCAATCATGTTACCTACAATCGTTATACTGTGCACCAGGGTGCACATAGTATTGTGCGTTTTGCGCCTTTCAAAAAGACATCGTTTTGTTAAGTTGTTAAAAAAAAATTCTCTGTTTCGAATGCATATAAACTCATAACAGAATACACATAATTTAATATATTTAAAAAAATCCTTTGTTTCAAATCTTCTAGCTTTATTTATTTATTCTTTTTTTTTTTTTGAAATACTCATAATTTTTTATCAGGTAATATATATTCTGTACATTTTCAAATAATTTCAACCCAAAAAATTAAAGCCCTTCCTCTTGAGATTTGATCTTGTGACCAACCAGAGGTGTTAACACACTTATTTGTATAAATGGTCATGACCGTGGCTATTTGTTGAAGATTTTTTTTTCTTTAAATTGGTTTAATTTCAGGAAAAGAAATATTATACATTAGCATCAAGTGATATGTTAATTACCAAGTCACACTTTATCGATTTTAACTAGAGGATGAGTAGTTAAAAATGTAAATTAAACAATTTTATAAAGTTAGAATGTTAATTTACAATTTTGTTAAGATTAATAATTTAGTAGTTGCAATATACTATAGTAGTTATTTATTTATTTATTTATTTTACCAAGTATGCAATGTCTTGTCACTCTTACTTTTGATTTTGTCAAAAACATTATGCAAAGGAGACATCTACAATTTCAAATTTCTACCAATTACAATAAAGTTTCAAGATTTTTTATTTTTTTATTTTTTAAAACATGCACGTTAGTCACAACTTACAAGGATGATTGTCAATGCCAATACGCGAGTTAGTTGACTTCTTGATAATTTGTCTGAGCAATTAGCTTTACATTCTAACTATATGTTTGAAATTTTTGTTAGTTTGTAATTATATAAATTGTAAGAAGAAAACTATGTTGTATGTCTAATTATTTTGATAACAATAAATAAGGAACTATATGTTTCTAAATGCTTGTATTTTTAAATTTCTTTTTAAATGGAGATTCAAGACTTGATTGCTTGAAAGAGAAATGATATATAATTAAGGTTGTATTTTACAATTGTTAAAAATAGGATTAAAACAATTTGAATTATATAATTGAGAAAATAAAAATATAAAGACAATCCTAACTAAATTGGTCGAGTTGTTAGCTTGATAATCACAAGGTTCCAAGTTTCAATCGTCGTGAGAGGTGGGTTTACTTTCCTTGATATTATGGAATTAGATTCCTATTGACCCAACTTTCATAAGTCAAAAATTACACCAAACGTGTGAATAATTTTCCAACATTTTAAATTCCCATGCATGAATGTTCAAACTTCCCTGACTACCAAACACCCTATAAATGTTCGGTAAAATGACTTATTACATTAGCTTATTGAGACAATAAGTCGAAATTTGAAAAATTGAGAAAAGTAAAAATTTTTTTATTAGTGAACGTCTTTAATAATGAAAATAAACAATTAATTTATCAAAAACTTTTTTTATAATTAGATAATACTTTTAACTGGTCAAACTAACTAACTTAATTAGCTACGGGTCATTTGCTAAACACCTGTTTCTATAAAATTTTATTTTAAAATTTTCTGAATTCGTTTTTCACGAATCAAATGGTTATAATTTAGGCATTTGGAACATGATCCTGCGAAGAACAACAAGACATGGGCTCCACACGCAATATAAGATTATAAGTTACCTAAAAAGCTAACATTAGACTGGGGATTTCTAAAAACAAATGTAAACCCACACTTCCACGGTTCCACCGGACGCGGAGGCATTACTCAACTCCCCATCTCCACTGTCAACCCATACCACATTTACAACTGGCCTTAAGCCTTTTCAATTTTTTAATATTATCTCACCTCCCAAACACGCCTCTATATATCCCCTATACACCACACCACTAACCATCTCCAACACAAAACTCTTGTTTAATTTGCCCACTTTTCTCCTCGTATTGCATTCTTCATTTCTCGTTCATTCCTCCTACATTGAGTTCCCCGAGCTACTTTCGAAGAATCGCTAGAAGAGATAAATCATTAGTCGTTCAAACAGTCAATTAGACTGATCTTAAACTTCAGAATTCATGTTCAAGAGTTGTTACGTTCAAACAGTCAATTAGACTGATCTTAAATTTCAGAATTCCTGTTCAAGAGTTGCTGCTTAGCGAGAAGAGTTAAAATCGCAAGTCACCAGAACTCTTATTTAAGAGTCACTAGAAAAAGGTAAATCGCGAGTTGCTCAAGCAGCTGACCAGATTAATTCTAAGCCAACATAATTGCTGTTTTTTGGGTTCTTTGTACGGTTTCTTGAAATGGGCAATTACGTTTCTTGCACCTTGTCGGGGCCGGCAGGCAGGAACTCCAGCAGGGGAACGAAGGTGATTCTCGCCACCGGCGAAATACGCCATTTTTACGAGCCCACCAACGCGGCGGAGCTGATGCTGGAATCGCCGAACCACTTCGTGGTGAGCGCCAGGGGTTTACAGATGGGCCGGAGATTCTCGGCGCTCAACGCCGACGAGGATCTGGAGATGGGCAGCGTTTACGCCATGTTCCCCATGAAGCGGCTGAACTCCGCCGTCACCGCGGCGGATATGGGCGTTCTGTTCCTCGCCGCTAAAAGGGTATCCCGTGGAAGCGTGAGAATACTGCCTGATCATCAGTTGATCAGTGACGGCGGTCATAATCGGGACGATTTGCCTAGGTTGAATTTGGATGACATCGAAGAGTTGTCGGCGCCGGAGTTCAAGCACCGGCTGTCTATGTGCAGGTCGAAGAAGCCTATGTTAGAGACCATCATGGAAGAACCAGTTTATTCGAGATGATCATTGGATTACTAATTCACTTTTCTTTTTTTTTTTTTTTGGATTTTAGCAAAGAGGAAATTCAATTCATTCTTTATACAGAGTAGTTACTGGTGCTTTTTTTTTCCCCTGCACAAATTAATTGTCTAAAAATATGAAATTTACAGGTAATAATAATATGATTATGAGTTTATGAATTATGACATAAGACTTGGAGCGATTTGCATTATCCGTTTTAAAGAAAATAGTATTTTATTTTTTTAAATTAATAAAGCAGTTAGTTGAATGAATCATAATTCCACAGGTGACTTTTTTAGATTTTTTTGAAAGAAAGCTAACTTCATTCATTAATTCTTCCCAACTTGTAGAGCATGAATAATAGAAGGAAGTGGAAAAGAAAAGCAAGCCGCAAAAACTAATTTTGATAGGGCTTTCCTAGCTAACACATGAATAACCCTAATGCAGATCGTTTAATAAACAAAAAGTAAAGATTTATAAATTTCCTAACTAGTTCCCTAATGTCGTATTTTCGTTAATAATTAAGTCAAAAGAAGAGACCAACCAGCGACTCTCGATTTCAGTAATTACTTGGAGACAGTTAGACTTGGGAAACAAAAAGTTTCTTGTAGCAGCTACGGACTGAGTAGTTCCCTTTGTCCACCTTCATCATATCTCTATAATCTTGTCAGCTTACTTATTTTAACACGCGGGAAACAAAAATTATAATTTTTTTAATATCAAAACAACATCATTTTGAATCGTGGTCCACACAACTCACACTAATTTGCCAACAAATGACCAAAACAATTACTTTAATACATGATTATGGATGACTTCGCTTCTCCTCTATGATTGATGGACTAATCCGGCTATTCTTCGTTATTTTAAGAACAAAAATGCACTTAACCTTAAATAAGGGCAAATTATGCTTTGCAAGTGTGCAACCGTGTGCACCATGCAAAAATGACGTCATTTTGTCTAAAAACGCGCATCCGACTTTAAAAATAAATTTCAGTTTTGATTACCGTCAACAGCATTATGTTGTGCATAATTTGAACAATATATCCAGAATAAATGAACTAAATATTCAGCATGAATGAAAAAAAAAAATCAGTTTCGATTTTCGCCAATGGCGTTATGTTGTGCATAATTTGAACTATATATCCATAATGAATGAACTAAATATCTATAATAAATGAACTAATATCCATAATGAATATGTTGTGCATAATTTGAACTATATATCCAAAATGAATGAACTAAATATCCATAATGAATAAAAAAAAAATCAGTTTTAATTTTCGTCAACGGCGTTATGTTGTGTATAATTTGAACTATATATTCAAGATGAATGAACTACATATTCAAAATTTTTTTAAATTCAACGCCAAAATGATGTCGTTTTTACAATCGTGTGCACCATGTTACACCGCATAAAAATTATTATATAAGACAATTGGGTAATAAGTATCCAGCTCAATAAATGAGGCCGTCTTTGGCCCAAAAGGAAAAGTTTGAAGGAGTTTTTCTATCTATTGAGATGTCTAGCCCAAAAAATAAGGTCCAAAGTCCAGAGTTTTATGTTCATAATTTTTAAATTCTATATTCATAATTATGACAGTTTTGGAATTGTGTTCACCTTGCATAATTTACGTCAATTTGTCTACAAATACCTTTTCCAATGTATAGTATTAATGAGATCACATATTCGACCCGTATCACAAATTAAGAGTCGTGAGACGTCTCACACAAGTATTACCCTAATTATATGAAGTATTTCATTAAATACAAAACAAAAATTATTGAATCTTGAAATTGGATCAGAATACAAAGAAGATAAGTAAATAAAGTGAATAGATAAAGACTGATAATATATATCCACATCCAATTACAATCATTATTGTGTAATGTAACTGCTAATTACAATTTAGTAGACCATCTCTAACCCAAAACACCAAATTTAATATGTACAAATTTTTACATCAAAAAAGAAATTCCAACATATTTTTACACTAAATTTTTCATCAACAATCCATTTACACTAAATTTATTCCTACACTAAAATAATTTATATTTTCATAAATTTAAAAATTATATTAATACTTTTATTATTTTAATATAATAACATATAGTTGCATTTTAATGTAATTTAATAAATTAAAACATTATGTTTTATGCAATTTAATTTTAATTAGTGTATATTCAATATTAGTTTTGTTTTGATCGTCTTGATAAGATCTTTAATACTGTTCAATATATGTTTAAATATTTAACTCTATATATATATATATATATATATATATATATATATATATATATATATATATATATATATATATAAAAGGAAAAAAATTCTTAAAAGTTTTGCCACACATGAACAGTGTCAAATATGGCGTAGTACTGTTCATCCTCGACAAAACTTTTGAAGTTTTGGTGTGTTGATTGGAGACCAATAGTGCGATTTCTTTTGCCACTATATCATTTTACTATGTGTTGATTGGAGATGGTCTTAGAGAGTGAAATGAATAAAGATTGAAGTAAGGTAAAGGCAGAAAGAACAGCCCAGAATGGTGAACCCAATAGTCCCACCAACATTACAAACAAGTTGCAGTAATGCAGACATGGCCGCCATCTTCTTGTCGCAGTCATTGATGGCAATATTGTAATTCCACCCAAACTCACACTCCAAACATCTCTCCAGTCTCTCCTTCACCCTCACTTCTTCTATTCTTTCCCTCAACACTCTCAAATTTGCATCCCCTATATGCCCTCCTCTCCCTGCATATACACATATCAAAGACCTTGTACTTTTAATTTCTCAATTGTACTTTGCTAATTATATAGTATATAAACAAAATTACATTTTTAATTTCTCAATTGTACTTTGCTAGTCTTTTTAATCCGTAAACTTTTTACAGATTACAGTATACACGCTTTAACTCTTCAAAAATTTACAGTTTTAACCTTTACTGCAATAAAACTAGTTATTGAGTCTATTAAAATTTTACTTAGTATGTATGTATTTTTTAAATTTCGTTATTTTTATTCTTTATAACTTCTTCAGTTTTTATATTTTATATGCAAAATAGAAAATTGACAACCTTCTCCCTTAAAATTAAGTTTTTTTTTTTTTTTTTTAGAAAAATTAAGAGTGCATATTAGAATGATAAAAAATTAAGGACTAAAACAGCTAATAACGAACAATATAATAGAGAGACAAAAATGCATTTCTAAGTATATATGTATGATATAATGGTGTTGTGTTTATTACCTTCTTCTGATCTGTAGGTCCGAGCACGGATTTTGAGCGACGAACGGCGAGGTCCGGGCCTGTTTCCGGCGGACGGCGGCGGCGGCGAGGGTGTTGAGAGAGATATTGAAGAAGAAGGTGATGCCATGTGTCTCCCACGTTGAGTTAATTGGTTTGTGTTGGGAAGCAGAAATTAAAGTGAGAAGATTATATAGAGAAGAGGTAGCAGCTGGAGAATACGTTAGTGATGTGACATGTTAGGAATGGAAGTTTGGTCGAAGAATATTATAGTGGCGGGTATGGGTATGGCTCGTTAATAATAACGTAGGAGATTTTTTTTTTTTTTTTTTTTTTTGAAATAAAAGAGCAAATTCATTAATCATACGATGAAAAGTTTACAATAAGATGAATAGAATGATAAAACATTTTTACAATCAGACATTGAAACAAATTTTCAATGCTACACGAAACTTGAATCTTTAACTGTTTTTTGAGATTGAAACTGAATTCGTTTGGAGAACCTGAAACTTCATTGATATTGTTAATAATCTTGCTACTTAAGTCGGACTCTATTGCGACTCTTCTGTGCATAGATAATATCTCCATTAGTCTGAATTGCATATTAAGATTCAGATCTTCTTTGTGTTCGAGAATGTAGGAGATTAATTGCAAACATTTGTTATAGTTTGGCTTGTGCTATTCAAAGCCAAACTATAGTTTATATTTTTATATAAAAATAAAACACCTAACTATTATTTCACCACATTCAAAAAAAAAAAAACTATTATTTCACCTTTCCACGAAAGTATATATTGTCTTTCCTTCAAAACAAAGAACTTTCCTTTTCAATTGAGCATAATAGTATCTCAACAGTAGTCGGTAGACAAGAGTCACAAGACTGCACGTTTGTTGTTTTTTACTTGTGCAATTCGTAACAAATATCTTTAAAAAAAAAAAAAAAAAAAAAACTCAGGTGAATATAGCTGACTAATCTTAAACTTACAAGACCCCGTCCTTAAAACTACTGCGGAGGTAAATCGCGAGTCACGCAATTAGCTCACTAATCAAATCATAATCTTTATGTACGAATAGGGATCCAATTCAGACCTTCCAGCTTCCTTAAACCTTTTCCATACATGTTTCTAGTGGGATCTTAATCTTACCCTCACCTTTAAATGCAAAATCCCTCGTCCCAGGACCTCACACTCCGATTCACACAAAATCAACTTAAACTGCTAATCGAACTAAACATCCTACTTCTGAATTATTCAAAAAAAAAATGCAAATCGATCACTTATTTGATTAACTGAAAAGTTTTAGTAAAATTAAAATATTCTTAAAATTTATAAATAAAATTTTTGAATTCATATAGTTTCATACCACAAAATAATCATTATATTACATTAATATATGCATAACCTAATAGTATGATTTATTTTAAAAATCATATATATATCACACAAACAATTTGATTAAACGACACTTTTCGAACTAATATAAATTAACCGATAACTAAAAAAATTAAAAACCATTAACTGTTAATTGAATTCAATATTTTAGTTAAAAACGGTTAACCACAATGTGTTGAACTACGCACACATCTATTTATGATATAGAAGTGTTTACATCATCATTCCCAAATACTTTGTCGGATTGGGGTGTGGGGGCTCTTAAGGTTGAGATTCAACCTTTTGGAAAAACGATATAGAAGTGTTGTTAATAAGTTTTTTTAATCTATTTTGAGAAAATTAGACTTTTTGTCCCTAAATTTTAGGGTAATTGTAGAATTCTTTCTTAATTGTTGGTCGTGCTCACTTTTTGCTACAAAGCTATCATTGGTGTTGAATCATTCGTCCTTTTATTAACTTTTCGTGCTCACTTTTTATCCCTAAGGCCTAAGATATACTAACGTTGCAAATTTCGTCCCTAGTGTTTTTTCAGTAAAGGGACGAAAAACGCAACGTCAATGATAGCTTAGCGACAAAAATTAAGCACAACCAACAATTAGGAAAGAATTCTATAATTATCGTATAACTTAAGGACGAAAACTACAAATTTTATTCCATCTATTTTTGTACAAATATGTTATAGTTTGCATTATATTATACATTGTGTTTTTTTATTAAATCGGATCAATATAAATTTTTACTAATAAATTACATATTCAAGTTTCTTTAAATATTTTAGAATAGATATAAAAATATTATACTCGCAGGCTTAAGGCGGAACAGGACAGAATGACCTCTCTTAGGTCTGTATTTTGACGGGTTTTTTAGCCCGTCCCGCCATATGGCAGGCTTTGACGGGTTCTGTCCCTCCAATCCATTTTGACAATTCTAATTGATGGTTACTAGTAAGACTAATTCAATCCATTTGTCACCAGAAGATCAATGAGGACAAATGTTGTTGAATACTATATAGTATATAGTTGATAATTGCTGTCAAATAAAGAGAAATTAAATAATTAAAGCATAAAAAAGTAATGGGTTAAATTCATATAAAATATATAGATAAATAGATATGGACAAAACATGATTTATATGTTGTATGTTGGTTTGAAATTCAACTTCAAACCGCGTTATGTTGTTGTTGCCGCAGGCCGCAGCCTACTCGTTTTCAAGCATGCTCAACTTTTGTCTTCTCTAACCCTATCTTTCATCTTTAATTTGACTTCCAAAAAATATTGTGATGGATGAATATTAGTTTGTAATTTTAGACTTTAGTTTAAATTTATCTAAAGATATATGTTAAAGTAAACGATGTTAATGTCAATGAACATCAATATGGTAATATGTATCTATTTAATATGTTCTAGATTTATGTGCCACATATTTTTATTTTTAACATCAATAATCAAAACATTTATAAAACTTAAAACATAACTAATGACTAACTGACATGACATAAATAGTAAAAATAATCACTTTGGTGGCATCAACTCACCTTTATAATTGATGGATTAATTTCATTATCTATTTTACACACACACATATATATATATATTCCGCGATTTACCTCCTCCACCTATCTCTAATTATAGAAGCAGTGAGAGATCCTTATGCTTCAGGTTCAAACTTATAATAAAAGAAAGTTATTATGTAAACTTATTCTGATTGATTGAGATATTAGTGGTTGAGAAATTTTTAAAATTATTTAAAATTTTAATTTTAATAAATTAATATACTTCTCTTCCTATTTTTTTTTTTAACTTAAAACCTATTTTTATCTTTTTTTTTTTTTTTTACAAATAAAATTAACATATACAAAATTATAGAAGATTTAAAAAGTTATAATTGAAAAATCTTTCAAATAACATCCATTTTGATTTTTAAAAGTTTTTTAATAAACCTACGATTATATTAAGTTAAAATTGTATATATTGATTAAGTTACTACTACATTTTCACTAAGTCACTAGTCACTATTACAAAAATCGTGCATTGACACTAGCCGGTGGCCTAAAATTTCACCGTAATTGGTGTTCTAGGAATCTAGGCTTCCTAGGTGTCGATTAGGCCGCGGCAGACTAGGCAGTCATCTAGGCGACCTAGGCATCCGATTAGCTAGTGTTCTGTTTTTTTTTTTTTTTTTAAAGGGTTATTTCACTCAAAACGACATTATTTTGAACAAAATAATCCTAAATCGTTCAAATTGACTGCGAACTCAAAAAATGTTTTTAAAAGAAAAAATCAAAACAAAACAAAATCATCTACTCTAAATATTAATACTTTTTGAGTTGTGCCTTTGTCGAATTGTGCTTTGATTCTTTAAATCTTTATATAATTTACAATTCTAGATATTTTTAGGTTAATATTTAATATTTTAGTTTTTTTTTTAATGCTACTGACTCTATTACATATTAAAGTATTAAATAATTTATAATCATCAATTCTTAGAATTCTAGATGTTATATTGTTGCATGTGCTTCCTATATATTATTTATGGTTGCAGTAGGCGCTAAGCGCTAGTAGGACGGTAGAGTAGCGTCTAGGGCTCTAGGCAGCTAACTAAAAAAAACAGTGGGTGTATGTCATATATATATATATATATATATATATATATATATATATATATATTAGGAAGGACGACTTGGCCGAGTTAACTCAGCCGAATTCGACCGAGTTCACCGTTAATTCAGCTAAATTGGGCGCCTAGAGGGTAATTCGTCTTAGCTAGGGGCACCTAGCCCCTAGACCGATTTTTGCAACAGTGATATAATTTGCTTCAATCTACCAGTATATGCATTTCCTTAAAATACATGTCTTGTTACTTTGCTTTGATTTGCTTTCACCTAAACTTTTATGTATCAAAAGAGAGGAAAAAGATCATTCCATCGTAAAGTAGGGTCAAGCCCTCTTGGCTCTTTCTGAAACATTGAAGATCAAACAGCTAGCAAACAATCCGAGGATTATGAGGGGCATGAATTCTTAATACAATGAGATGATTTCTAGCTATACAATTTCTTACATGAAACAAGAACCAAAGAAGGTTAATAAGTCAATTAAGTCATGGCTCAATGGTCAAGTGTCTTGTTTGTGGTTGCAGTTGTCAATGAACATGTACGAGGTGTGGCGGATGCTGTTGTTCATTTCTTTCATCTGTCGTTGTAGTGTCGGTGTCACGAGCATCCTAAAACACACCAAAAAACGTACTATAAAGATCGATATTGAGTGACTAAAGGTGTGCACAAGAACCAGAACCAGCCTTATTAGTTAACAGACTCAAATTAAAAAGACCAATAGGCCGTTCTTGCTTACCTGACGTTGACGTAGTCTATGCCTAATTGCCTGAAAAGCCTTCACCGCGATGTATATTGGCGTCACAATTCCAATACTCAGCATCAGTAACTGCAAAACATGTCAATAAACTTCCACCCATAAGCGACTACGGTCCACGTTGTTTGGAACCCACCTCACACGTGAGGGGGCGTGTTGAGCCATTAATGTGCAATCCAACTATCAGCTTAAGCTTTTAGTTGAGAGGACCACATGCTTCAATTCCTTTTACTATTGGCATAAAATGTTGTTTTCAAAGACCAAAATGCAGAACTTACATCAAGCAATGCGACGGAGTGATCTCCCACGACAGTAATGATGATCGGAAGAGTATGACGAAACATCAGAAGCATTGTAAACTGCATATATACACAACACAACATAATACCATGTGTGAATTGAATCGAAGGATTCAAAACACTGCAGATGAACAAAATACTATGTGGAGGGGAAGAAAGAAAGTACAGTTATGGCAACTAATCGACAGTATATCAAGCTTCTGGGAGCATGGTCTGAGTACTCATCAAAATCTGGGTCCATAGAATTGCGGTTTGCAGAAAACATTGCTATGAATTCAGGATTGTTAAGGCCTTCCCTGGAAATCTCCCAATGTCCTCTGAAACCCCTGTTGAGGTAACCACAGGAATGATACCAATCAGCAAGAGACCGAAAACCTTTCAAAACAATTTTTTCAATCAGCTTTTTGAGAAATTCATTTTGTATGTAATCAGCTATCAGCTAACAGTTAATTTACAAACATTTTTTTACAATCAGCTAATGCTATCAACTAGTCAAACCCAATAACCCAATAAGCTAACAGCTATCAGCTAACAGCCATTTACTAAACACTCCCAATATGGGTATTATGCGTGTGTGTACCTCAAGTTCATTGGGATCCCACCGCAATGCAACAAAGTTGGTGGCACTGTATAACTCGGCTTGTATGGCTGCACACTCAAGTTCATACATACAAACACAAACTTAGACCAATCTTCTACAGAAGGGAATATAGCAAGTATTATATAACATAAAGGTGGAAACTTGGGGAAAAAATTGCTTAGGAAAAGAGTAAAATCAGGCCAAAGACAAGACCAACCTGGCAACAAATTTCACATACATTGTCACCCTTCTCATTACACCACTTCTGAACACATTCATAGTGGGCATACTGCATATATATCAAGCAAGATAGAAAAGATGACAGTAGAGATGATTCATGTGCCTAAATACAAGAAATATGGCATCCACTATAACAATGTCACACGTGTTACCTTTAGGCTTCCACGGCAAGAGCAGGGTATGTCCATTCTACAATCTTCATCTTCGTCGTGGCAAATCCTACACTGTACCAATTCTGCCGGTGATGATGATCCTACATTAATGTCCATCCTATGGGAATTAAAATCAGTACTCATATCTTCACCGGGGGACAACGAGGGATGCTGCAACGAGTTTTTACACTGGATAGCAGCTTCAAGGCTGGATTCAGTCAGCAACCGGTCTACCAGTAACACAAAATGGTCTCCCATTCTTCAAACCAATTGAGTAGAAAACAATGGTTTTCCAAAGGATTTTGGGAAAGAAAAACATACACTTATTATTGTCAACTCTCTGTCAAATAACTCCTTCAATGAATGCTCAAAAGTAACCCACAATTAACTCATCCTGCATCACCAACAGATGATATGTAAATCAACCATAGTTACAGAAATATCAACCACAATTAATGCAAAATCATATCATATAATAACTCAAACTTGATCATAGAGTACTAGAAAAGGAAAGCCTGCCAATGATTCAATGAATGAAGAGGTTTGAATCAAGTAGTTTAAATTGAGAAACTGTTTAAAACTTTTCCTTATGCGACTCTTAAACTAACAAAAGTGAAAGAAAAAGGGATTGGCATCTAGGAGCTATAGTATCCGATGACTTAAAGAACAAAACTTTACATCAGAATCACATAAAAGGATGAAAAAGCAGCAATACCCACACTTTTTCAAGGGACAAAAAATGCAAAAGAACCACAATTCTTTATGTCAACGAAAAAGGAAAATACAAGGGCAACCCAACCAAGGGTACAAGTTTAACTCCCAATGGGGACGGCTTTTTTGGTAGTCTTTTGCCAACTAAAGTCAAAATGCTAGATTTACCTAATGCATATCCCGGTAGTGACTTGCGAGTTTCCCTCGTAACCAAAAAACGAGGGAAATACGACAAAAAACAACGAATTGAAAGTTCAATGACCTGAAATTGGCACTGGAAACAAGGAAAGTTGGAAGAACTAATGAGAATGGGTGATAATTAAGGGGAGGGAAGACTTACAAGAAAGGCATTGGATTTGGGAAAAACACCATTGAAAGAAAAGGAATCTAGTGGAAGCCTAACCCAGGCACCCAGGCTTCTACTCTTTCTTCCTCATTCCTTCCTTCTTCTGTGCATTAAGTATCTACTCTCTTTCCTACCCAAAAATCAAACTCTAAAAACTTGGGGGTTTCCAACTTTTCTCAGAATGCACTCTCTGGGTTTCTGGATTAACAAATAATGCAAGAGATCTTTGCATGTCAGTTGTCACGTTTAATTTCCTTCTCTCCATTTTCTCCGCACGAAGAAACAGGGAGAGATTCTAACGGCAAGAAAGCCCCACTAGCTTTCCCCATTTTGGCGTTATTAGATTGAGTGAAAGTTTCTCTTCTTAGGAAATATTATTGCATGCATCTTTTGATGTTCATATGGCATTGCTATTTTTAATTATAATTTTTTTTTTTTAATAATTAGTTTTGCTTATTATGTCATCATTTTTAAATTATTATGTTTACAAATTTCTAATCAGAATTAATAATTAATAATAGTTAGTTATTTCAAAAGAAAAAGTTTGTTAATTGTGATGATGAAATTAAAGTTATGATAAATAATCTATTTAATTCACAAAGTGAAAAATATATATCTTTTTAATCACCATTCACCCGTTTGAACAATTGGTAAGAACTAACGATATAACTGTAAGTTTAAATCATACTCCGTAAAATAATTGACTAGTTTTTTTTTAAGTAAGAGTCAAACGAAGCAAATTTGATTTAGTTTGGGAATACGGACTGACCAACCGATCAAAACCTAACTAGATTAGTCTCGTTATGTGATATTTGGATACAAGTGTAGAATTTTATTTGTTTATTTTTATTTTTTTGGAAAGAGGTCGCTGTTATGGCTCAAAATTATCAGAACAAATATATAAACACCCATTAAAGATGATAGTGAAAGAAGTATTGATGGCAATGGATACAATTGTTGAGCCAATCCGAGTTTCCGAGTCTCTGACTTATGTAACAAAATTAAGCAAAGATTTGCAGAGCTGACGCTTGGGGCAGTAAATTCTAACATAGCAGCCTCTTTAATGTTCATCGATACAACCATAAATCCAGCGGTCACTTGATGAGTTGATGGGGGAGTGACAGGTGTATTGTCCACAAAAGGCGCAATCTCTCATTTTGAAATTTTCACATTTTGACCCGGCATGGGACATTCACATGTTGGCTCGACATGATTTGTAAATGTGGTAAATCACGATAATTTAATTGTTCATCAAGTGAAAAAATTACTGTCTGGTGTCCATAAAAAATCTACCACATTAGGTGCGATATCAACATTGTGAATGTTAAGGCTCGATTTTAGCGTCGTCTATAATTTATCATGTAAAAATCAATCAAACTACTCGTGCAGATAAAGTGACAAATTACTAGATGAACGAGGTTTAATTGAAGTTCTCTAATAATATATAGGGATAAAGTACAAATAAGCCACTGTACTATTTGGGAAAAACCAATTAAGCCATCGAACTCAAATAACCCCTAAATAAGCCATTGAACCTGGAAAAAAAGAGCAATTATCATTTTTAACAGGCTAACTCCATGTTTTTGCTGACTGAATTGCCAAATGTTTATTTTATTTACGTTTTTTTAATTATTATAATACACATACATAGTAATATATTTTAAAGTAATTATAATCAAAATAGTTTTGTTTTGTATAGATCTAATTTATTTATTTATTATTATTTTTAAAACAAAAGATCCAATGAAAAAATAAGAATAATAAATAAATCAAATCTCGACAAGACAAAACTATTTTGATTATAATTACTTTAAAATATAATACTATCTAAGTGGATAATATTAATAAAAATAATAATAATAAACGTAAATAAAATAAACATTTGGCAATCCAATTAGCAAAAACCTGGGTTAACCTGTAAAAAATGTTAATTGCTCTTTTTTCAGGATTCAATGGCTTATTTGCTCTTTTTTCCCAGATTCAGTGACTTATTTGAGGGTTATTTGAGTTCGATGGCTTAATCACTGTTTTTCAAATAGTTCAGTGACTTATTTTTACTTTATCCCTAATATATATATATGAGGGGGAGTGAGGAAAATTCTATGGGGTAGAAGAGATAAAAAGTGTCGGATACCAAAAATGGAATATGGTACTTTGTTTCATTTCCCACCGCCTTTCCAATACAATGAACTAATGCATAGGGATTTACACAAGTAATTTACTAAATTACCCTGTGTATTTAAATTTGAATATCATTACAGAAGTTGCTTAAGGAAGAAATTGGTGCTGCATGAATTAATTTGAAGAGTGTTAATTTAATTCGTAAATACGGAGTACTAATTAGATGTTATGTATATGATTTAAATACTAAGTTGGAAGACGATTTAAATTATAAAAAAAAATAAAATTAAAGAGTAATTTGTTATGGAGTATTAAAGAAAACTTGATACAACATTTCATAATATACTCTGTCCATCTATAATAATATACTTCGTATAAGATATTATAATAATATAATATTGTCAAGTACCTTGTGTTCAGATGGCATGTAGTGACCTCTCCAATGAGACCAAGACTCTTTGTACTTCATTAAGTTGAAAAAGTATGTTTGAACAGATACTACAATCTAATAGAGTTAGTAGCATTCAAAATAACAATAATATAATATTAATTTGTGTAAAATGTGACATACTAGTTATTATTATAATAATAATAATAATAACTGAGAGTATGGAAATTATAAAATTATTCTTCCTTTTCAATTTCCATTACCAGTAATACCTCTTTGTGCCATTTTTTGCCTCTCAGCAGCCCTTCTCATATTCTCCAACACTAAATCTTCGTGCGCCTGAAACCTCTCAAGACTCCTCCACGGCCCATCTTCGTTCTCTTCCCTCCAACGCGGCGGCATAGGCGGCGGCGCGTCTTTTAGCATTCATGGAAGCCAACTCCTCTTCCTGTTTCCTCTTATGATTCGCACGAAACTCTGCAATTTCCTCCCGCAGTTTCTTCCAGATGCGCTCTTCTTCTTCCTTTTCCGCTCTTTCCAGATCTGACATCATCTTCTCCCGCTTCGCATCATTCCTAAACTTCCGTTTCGTCGTCCGGTCACGTTTCGCTCGGAGCAGATCGTCAAACTGTTTTCTAGCCTTCCCATCCTTGAGAATTTCGTACGAGTCCTTCAGTTTCTGAAAGTTGATACGGGCGTTAGGATCGTTAGGTCTTTTATCAGGATGTAATTCCAAAGCTTTTATACGGTAGGCTTTAGTTATCTCTTTATCAGAAAGCTTGGCTCCTTCCTCGCCGGAGGGTAACCCTAAAATAGCATAATGATCGGAATTCATACTCGGAGACAGTTTCCCTACTGAGAATATTAGGATTGTATTGCTAAATATTGTTTGTACTCTCCTCCCCATGTATGGGTCTATTTATACGTATTTTCTACTAGCAACTCTACAAGGAAAAGAAATACTCCGTATCATATTAGGAAATAGGAATCCTTCTTACATTAGGAATAGGGAGTCCAATCCTACTACATTATGAATATATGAATAATAAACTTAATCCTTATTACATTATATGAATAATAATCTCAATCCTTTTATATATATATATATATATATATATATATATATATATATATATATATAGGTGTCCATATTAGTTTTGTTTTAATTGTCTTAATACAATCTTTCATATTATATAATTTATGTTTACTAATATAAAATATATGTATAAGTATTTAACAAAATATATAAATACATAAAAATAAAATAAAGAATTTAACAAAAAATAAACATAATGTGGCCAGAGTTCAGGGGAGTCGAAATAATATTGGTAATTTGTAATTCTTCCAAAAGGCTAAACCCCAATCTTAAGGATCCCCTACACCCCGACCAACGTAACTATGAAGGTTTTTTAACAATTTTTGTGTAATGAATTATATTTGAATATATGTATATATAATATAAAATTTTGAAGAATAAGATTATTGGACCAAAAAAAGAAAAACTTAAGTTGGGCTTTATATACATGTTGTTATAATGTTATTACATACATTCACTTATATAGTTATGTTGTTTCAGTATTCTAATACGTAATAAGTTATTGGTGGGTGTCGTTGATAATGCTACTATACCTTAGGTTTCTTGTCATACAATTTGCCAAGTGGACAGGGTTCCAAAACTGTCATAATTGTAAATATAAAGTTCAAAAATTATGAACACAAAGTTTTGTAATTGTAAATATATAGTTCAATAATTGTGAATATGAAGTTCAAAAATTATGAACATAGAGTCAGTAATTATGAACATAGAACCCTGTCCACCTTGCAAGTTAGACACGGTTCCACAGCATAACAATTGCAATTTGCTTAGGTGCAGATTATAGGTGAAGCAGTTTGACATTAGAAGCAGAAATATCATTAGATACAATGAAATACTAACTGTTTAGCTGTTAGCATATTATGGATTGAGTACAATTTAACATAGGTATATGCTAACAATAAAGAGGATCTAATTAATAAGCTGACCTTAAACATAAGAATACAGTAGTTTGAAGTAGATGATGACATAAATTGACAGAGAAAACAATGCCAAAACATGTTGCCAGAACAGAAGTGCTGAGGCTTCACTAACCGCGTAGCCTCTCAGCCTCGCCACAGCTCCCAACAAGATGGCGCTCGGGCTCGTGTACTGCAGCAAAAGCACGAACCTGTACATCTGATCTGCGGGGATCAGAATGCCAATTTTATCAGCCAAGGCGACCACCCCGATCCCCACTAAGGGTAGGATAAGAAGTCTTGCAATGATGATCCCAACCGTAGTTCTAATGCCGAGTCTAGACTCGTTTGGACCCTCGGCCAGCATTCCCCCGAGAATCAGCATAACCGAAGGCACCATTGCTTGTGCCATTATGTCTAAACTGTCTGTGATGAAGGACAAAGGCGCATCGTCCCCGTAAACGATGGATTTCAAGGAAGGAACCATTCCGACGATGAAGGCTAGTAGGGTTGCCAGTGTTGGGGGCTGAAGGACGTGCTGGATTGGGGTTCGTTCAGCGACAACTCTTATTTTCCTCACCACCCGTGGCTCTACCAAGCACCTAATCGACTCCACGGTGCTTGGAGCCGCTTCCAAATCATCCGAACATCGAATCGATTTTGGACTCCTTAAAGCTACTTCCCCCGGGAGCTCAAGTTCCTCTAGTGAACCTTGTGAAACGCCCGAGACACTCGCGAAAGTCCTTGCTATGAATGGCGTTTTGCAATGCTCGGTTTCTTTGTCTTCCATCCCAGGCCACTCCGCTTCCACGAGAAGCGGCCTACTCAGATCATTCACAGGCGGCAATTGTTCTTGAATCTCAACGCCATCCTCAACCACATCATAGTAGTCCACCGGGGGCTCCATCATGTGATAAACAAGAGTGTAAACCAGAACCACTGCAACCCACTGGGCAAAAGACACATATGACACCCCAGTGCTCTGGCAATCCGGACCGAAAAAATTGTCATCACTATGGCACACCGAACCCACAATCGCGAGAGGGAGATTGCCCGTGTTCCCAAAACCCGTGGCAATGACAGTGAACCTAAGGTATTCTGGTGGTGTCTTGCATATTTTTGCAACCAAATATCCCAATAAACAACCCATGGCAGTGCTAAGGACAACATTCACAGGTATGAACCACCAGTTTATAAAATTCTGGAGAGTAATTGTCTCCCCTAGGTTAATAAAGATGGTGCAGGGCAAGAACAAAGCAAATACAAGCTTGCTAAGCAGCCTGAAAGTGGATTTGGGAACAAGTTTTGTTTTTGGGTGTGCAAGAATCAGACCAATAACAGTCAAGCAAATTAGCTTCAACAATGGCAGAATAGCATCCAGTAGATATGCCCCATCGTTCTTCACCAAACCCGAAGTTCCAGCAAATAGCGATTCCATTTTATCACAACAAGATCAAACCTTTACCAAAATAATTGAACAGTGAGCTTCGATAATCCCCCAACAGAACAGTTTGGTAATAAAATTCCCAGAAATTTTTTCACAAACCCAGAATTTATTCAAGAATCGCAGCACATAGATAGAATAAGAATCCCATAGATTGCTATACACACACCCACACACACACACAGCATAAACTTCAGCAAATACTCACAGTTTCACGGAATCTATTGAAGCAAAGGTGAAGTTGAAGGAGCCAAATTGTGTTTAAAAGTTCTGTTTCTTCGTGAAAATATGGGCAGTGGCGGCGCCACGGCGGCGCGTCAGCGGGAGGGGGAAAAGCAAAATCCTCGGTAGTCCGTACGATGAAGATACGCTGAAGTATGTAGGAATAAATACAGAATACGACAATTTCTCTCACGTTAAACTCGCCCCCTTTTCCATGGCAAATTATATGGTGACCTAGTTACATAAGAATATATATATATATATAACAAATTGTAAAATATTTTATTATTGTAGGGTTAAGCGTCTCTTAGATTTATCAAAAGTCAAGTTTGTTACGTATATAAAGGCTTATATGTTTTCATTTGTAGGAAGATATCAATAAGAATATCTCTCTCCTGTCTTGATTCACAACAAAAATAATATTGTAATTACATAAAAATGACATCATCAACCCTAATTATATACACTTTTAATAATATATTTATGTGTTTATGGTATTAAGTTTATGTATTTATAATAGTGAATTTATATTGTGTTTGTGTTAAAAATCATGAAAATGTGCAAATTCCGTGTTTCATTCTCAAATCAAACATATTGAAATAGACTATAATTGTATTCGTGACAAAATAGCATCAAATGAGGTACAAGTAAACTACATCTCTACAAAAGAATGACCGACAAATATCTTCGTCAAGCCACTAACCACAACAAGGTTCAAGAACCTTAAGCTTGAGGTGACGTATTAAGAGTTTATATATGTATTTTTTAATACTATTAACTCTGTTATAATGTAGTATCGTTCATAACTATTTTCTTAGTTTATTAAAGCACAAAGAGACTCTGTATTCTAGTTACATTCCACTTCATTGTCACTCTCTATGTAGTATTGTAAATCTATCTTTTATTATCAGTATCCTCCTGATTAGAACTCTTTGTATCTTTATATAAATACATAAATCGAATTGTTCAATAATAAAATTCTTCTCAAAATTATTATTCTTATCATAATTTCTATCAACTAGATTAATGTTCTAGTATTATCCTTAAAACAATAATTTCTTAAATGGTTTATAGGGATGTTCAATTCTACATTTACTCCATAAAACTCTTCTTGAATATGCTATTAAATTAAATGGAACTTGTTTTCTAGTTTCTACCATGAAAAAGCTATAGGAGCCAACGTTGTTTTCAGGTTCTTGCGGGAGGGCATTTTCATCGGAAATACGTTGACCACATTCAATGTTCAATATGAAAAACAGACATTGAGTTTGCAATAATAATGAATTGAAATGTTAGATGATCTCAATATCATTTAATGTAACATACTATTTCAATGCCCCACATTATTATTATTATTATTATTATTATTATTATTATTATTATTATTATTATTATTATTATTATTATTAAATTGAATGTTAGAATATTGGGTTCCTAAAAATTGAGAGCTTTGTGTGGTCGTCTTGGCCAGACATGGCTAAGACCGGCCCTCTAGTAGATCTCTTCTTATTTTGGAAAAGTTGGTAGTCGCTAACGGCCATTATTAGCTCGGCTCGTAATTTCAGAAGGAATTAAAAATGATCTAGAGGAAAACGACGAATTAGATTCTTAGAATTTAAATCACGTTATTTATGTTTGAATTGTGATCTTAATTATAAAAAGATGATAATACCCTTACTAATTTAAGATAAGGGATGAATTTTAACATTAAAACAATAATTACATATGAGAATATGTAAGAATTAAATATGTAGATAAAAATTATCATTTTATTAATACTCGTAGAAACTAAAATTGGATTGCTCAATTGCTAAATCACAAGGTTGATTTAACTTCCGAGGCCGAGTGTATTCTTTACCCATAAAGATAAGATATGAAAAACTGCAGTAAAGCTAGTATCAAAGGCAGCGGCGCTGATAGCGTGAGCAGAAGAAGCGCAGCATATGCAAGAATGACTAAATTTTCCCTCTTTGAGGACGATTTGGGAGCCGGACCCAGTACTCGCAGCCCGTCTCTTTTGCCCACGCCCAAGAAACGCAGAACCGTTCCGTCTAAACCTTCTCCTGAACCTGAACCTGAAGAGATAGAAGCAGAAGACGAAGAGGAGGAGGAGGTGGAGGTGGAGGAAGGTGAAGCGGAAGAAGAAGAAGAAGAAGAGGACGATGAGGATGGGCGTGAGGAAATGGTGCCGGGATCCGATGACTTTACGGAGACGGATCGGGGTTCAGAGGATCAGAGTGGGAACGGATCGGTTTACGTTCAACTAACCGACCCGGATGTGTTGGATTGCCCTATCTGCTTCGATTCGCTTACCATTCCCGTATTTCAGGTCTCTGTACTTCTTTATCCTTCTCGATTGTGCTCATATATGTGTGTTTTTGCGTGAAAGATTGGAACCTTTTCTTCGCAATTTTGTTTGGAATATCTGGAGAAAAAAAACCCTAATTGTTAATTGAAGGAGAAAAAAACCCTAATTGTCGAACCTGTAGGCAGGGCTTGTTAATTCAAAAGGTTTGTTGAAGTATTAATATCCTTACGAACTGTTCTAATAGCAGGTAGTATCCACTTCTATGGATCCTTGATTGTCCTTGTGCCACTTCAAACCAGCTTAGGCTGAAATAGTCTTGATGCACCTAATGTAAAGACCCTAACTTTTTCGAGTAACGAGGAAACCTGCAGCCACTATTCGCGGGTACAGATGGGCTAAATCATGCGTTGTGGCCCTAGTCGTCAAAGGACCACAGGGAGCTAAACTAGCCTAGGTTGCACAAGAAGGCCAATAGGCCTCTCCGACTAACTTGGCTGGGTTACCCCTAAAGACCCTAACTTTGCACTAAGTGATGAGTGATGTGTGTATGTTAGGGCTCAGAAATTGTAAAATCTAATTTGACTAAGGTCGATGCAAGAAGCTTGCAAAATTGCCACAATGCCACTTAACATGATCAAAAACTTCTATTTGAAAACAGGCCAGGATGCAGGCAAGACTGGTCTCTCCTGAATCCTGATGAAATATTTAGGGTTCAATATATGGGTTAGCCTATATGCCATAGCTTATTTTTGTGTGATTTTTTAATTTTTTTTTGTACTTGTGTTTATTTGCTTTTAACGATTCCCTTTTATCATTTCACACTGGTAAGGGAGGACTGCATATGGGGTTGAGAGGGAATTCTGACAATATATGGGAGTGTCTTAGTGTGATAGTGTCAAATGCTATACAGTGAACTCATTCTGATGCTTTTTTAAGAAGCTTTATGCAGCTATACTACTTTATTTTAATTATTTGCAATCCATGATCAATTGATCTTACTCTGGCTGAATTTAAAGTGCTAATCTTTCATATGGTGACATGTCAAACTGCTTATATAGAATACATTTGGCTCACATCCGTTTTATCTTTCTGGATGATAATATAGTGTGAGAATGGCCACGTGGCATGTGCATCTTGCTGCATTCATATTAGCAACAAATGTCCATCTTGCGCTTGGCCAATTGGGTACAACCGCTGTCGGGCTCTTGAGAAGGTTCTCGAGTCTGTGAAAGTCCGATGCCCAAATGCAAAGTATGGCTGCAAGGAATCTCTCATTTATAGCAATCAAAATGAGCATCTGTCTACATGCATCTACGCTCCTTGTTCGTGCCCTCTCCAAAGTTGTAACTTTCTTGGCTTTTCGAGGGAAGTATATACCCACTTTAGCAGACATTCATCTTCAGCTAAATGCTTCATTTTCAATTCTCCTAAACTGCTCTCTGTCGAGAACCATCAGCGGTTCATATATCTTCAAGAGTTGACTACACGGACCATCTTTGTAGTCAACCATAACGATGAAAGCAGTCTTGGCAGTGCTATCAATATAATCTGCGTTGCACCCCAATCATCAAAGAGAAGTTTCTGTTACAAGCTAATAGTATGGGATGGCGATACGACTTTCGAACTGCAATCACTAGCAGAAAATGTCCCGGACTGGTCACCATTTACACCTATGAAGATATTTCTTGTGGTTCCAAGTGATATTACTGAGACTCGAGATCAGCTCATGTTGCAAGTTTGCATAAATGACAAATAAAACTCCAGGAGGCCAGTCTACATATGTACAGGGACAACTTTGGTATTTAGATAAACTGAACAAAGTTATTATATATTATGTGTAGAGGACTGGATTCTTTTAGTTTGTTAATGTAATTTAACTGATGTTGCTGGTCTTGCTTTATTTCTGATGCAGTTGATGTTGCTGGTCTTGCTTTATTTCTGATGCAGTTGTTATACCATGGACCAAGGTGGACCCTGGTCCTAAATTCTGTATTTTTAGTATTGGAATTATAAACATATAGAATATAAATTGTGTTTCTGAGTTTTGAGATTTTGTGACAACAATATAGGATCATTACAAAACAGCAACATCCGTTCAAATCCATTTACAATTTACAAACCAAAACTCCACCTACACACATGCACGCATATAATAATAGAGTTAAGTTCAGCAACACACCAAAAAACAAAACAAAAAAGAAACCCAGACATATATGTGTCCATGGAATCTCATGCTAAGTCCTTGATGCAAACTTCCAACTTGAGGTGATCCCATGAATCACTAATAACATTACCCGGAACAAGAAGAAATATCTTCAAAGCTGCAGATGGATCCCACTTTGGGATGTTCTCTGCCACGGCTTCCAGTTTGATAGACGTGGTCTTCTCCCCACTGCCACCCTTACAGCCACAGTTCTCTTCTTCACCCCTTGCAACAAGCTTATAAAGGAACCTCCTCTTCGAGGATCCAGGCGCAATGCAGATTACATTCACAGCACTACCAAGAGGATCCATATGATGGTTCACCACAAAGACCACCCCTCCAGTCTTCTCTTGAAGATATATGAACCTCTGGTTTTTCTTAAGAGAAATCTGTCTAGGAGAATTGAAAGTGATGCGTTTTGCTTGAACATGTCTGTTAGTGAAATGGGTATATACTTCCTTTGAAGAGCCCAGGAATTTACAAGCTCGATTTGGACATGAGCAAGGAGTGTGGATGCATGTAGGCTCGTGGTCTCTAAGCTTGTTGTATTTGATAGATTCCTCGCAGCCATAGGTGTTATTTGGGCATGGGACTTTCAGTGACTCCACAACCTTCTCTAGAGCTCGACAGCGGTTGAATCCGATTGGGGAAGCGCAAGATGGGCATTTGTTGATAAGTTTAATGCAGCAAGATGCACATGCAATGTGCCCATTCTCACACTACATTATTAACCAAAACAACAAAAAAAGAAAGGATATGAGCATATATAATCAAGAACGATATATAACAACTCGATCTGTGTGATACTTTCCAGCTAGAATTAGAAACTAAAGACTAGAGAGAGACCTGGAAGAGGGGGATGGTAAGCGACATGAAGCAAATTGGGCAATCTAACACATCTGGATCGATTAATGTCGCAGAAATGGATCCTTTCCCTTTTCCACTCATCACACCATTTGAAACCCCATCCACAATCCCTGCATCTTCGTTTTCCGGCACCATTTCTTCCTCTTCTTCTTCCTCCTCATTGTAGTCATCGTCTTCTTCTTCTTCTTCTGTCTCCTCCTCGTCTTCTTCGTGTTCTGCTTCAATCTCCTGATGGTGGGCAGGTTGGGGAGGGGATTTAGATGAAGTAGCGGTGGTTCTGGGTTTCTTGGGTGTTTCACGAAGGGAAAACCGAGTGGTTACTGCGATGCTTCTTTTGTTTAAGCTATTATTATTAGCTCTGCTGCTGCCTTTGATCGTAGCCTTAGTTGATGAGTTCTTCATATCTTTCATTTTTGGTTTCCTTACTTAGGCATGCAGCTTCAGAACTCGATCTCAAGTATGGAGAAGTACTTAGAGGCGTTTAATTTGGTTGAAACATTATATAGAACAATTAATTAAGAATCAAGAAATTAGTGCATGTGTTTAGTGAAATGTGGGGTTGACATCTGTAAATTGAAGTGGAGATTAAATGCCACCTGGTGTCCATGCATGTCTAGGTAATATGGAAAAGACGTGCATGGTGTAATAGGAGCTAGCGAGGAAGATAATGATGATGTATTCGAAACCGAATAGTACAGTTTTAGAATCACTTAGTAAATATTTTGTTGGGACAGGGATCAGGATCCCTGTCGAGGACAAAAGAAATGAAATGAGTTTGGTAAAATTGGGTAGGGGGAGCCATTTAGGTAAGTAGATGTGGTTTGGCGGGAGAGTTTGACACCTGGCAAGACACACGTATGGATGGGGTGACAGAGCTCTATGGTCTATGCATCTATCCATGATATGTAGGGATGACAATGGAGCAAGACGGGGCAGGGATTATACTCTCCATTCCTATTACCGGCATGGATTAATTCTCGTTCTCGGTCAACCCTTAGTCAATGTGTCAAATTAATGTAATTTTTTTAATAATCAAATAAAAAAATAAAACCTAAGTCATAATTTCAAAAATTAAACTGATTAAGTTTCTTGATTTCTCTACCAGGACTATGCGGTCTAATGGTACTTGGGTTGGACTTCCATTTGAAAGATTATGAGTTTGAGCCTCAGTGAAGGCGTTATTGGTTCTTTATGTTTCAGTCGGTTAAGAAAGTATATGAACAGAAGCCAGTAGCTTTCAAAAAAAAAATATCTACGTACCACAAGCCACTTGGTATAAGAAATATAAATTACTAAATACAAATACACAATTATGGTAACATTTAATTAAAATCTAAACGAAATCTAATTTATTTTTTATAGTACTCCAATATATAATGTCTACATAAATTATTATTCTTGGAGAATACGAAAAAATATTGTGTATGCATGTGTATGGTAATAATAATAATGAAAAAGATAACAAAAGTTATAACGACAATATAATGATATTTTATTGTTGTGCATGTGCATGGTAATATTTTGGTCAAAGTACCTATGAAGTCCATGTACTATAGTGTTTTGTTCAATTTAGTCCTTATATTTTTATTCTGTTTAATTTAATCCCTCTACTTAAAAAAAGTGATGAAACTAAGAACAATTGTTCAAATCTCATTAAGAACATGGTTATAATTATTTATTTTGGACATCTAATTTAATATATTGGTGGTAAAAATAATTAATTTTAAATATTTATGAAGTAATATATGAATAGGATTATAAATATCGTCAGCACCACGTAACCTGAGTTAACGGTAATATTAACACCGTTAACTATTGTTCTTAATTGCACCACTTTTAAAAGTACAAAGACTAAATTGAACAAAATAAAAGTATAAGAACTAAATTGAACAAAACATTATAGTACAGGGACACTGTAAGTAATTTAACATTATAAAAATTTATGTTCACAAACCAAACAAGTCGTATGTCAGTGTATTACATTTTATTTATGGTATAATGGAGCGTGATAGGCTACATGATAGTTTTAATTGGTGGAATAACGTGATTGGTGAGATGATATAATTGGTGGTCCCTAATATGACATATTTAGTGGATCTTGAACCTCCTTAAAGGTATAATTTATATTCCATAATTATATGATAATTACTATATGACTATTTTGACCTGATTAGTTATGTGAACTGAACCGCTAACTTATTTAGTTATTTTCGAGGTCTTCGCATCCATTTGGCCAAAATGGCTACGAACTACGAACTACTTATTATGCCATTTATGTAGGCCTGTGCATAACCCGCCCAACTCGCCCAATCCGACCGACCCGAACCCGACACACAAGAATGGATCGGAAACCGAACCCGATCAGGCAAAACCGAATCGAGGAGAAAAACGACGCCGGTTTAATTAGGTCGGGGAGGGGGGTATATTTTCCACCCGAACCCGTCCGATCACCCGAATTAGACTAAGCCTACGTATAATGCGACGTCGTGTAGTCTAAGTATATATAGAAGAAGTAGCGGAGAATTCGCAAACCCTAATCTCATTTGCGCAGCTCTTCTGTCTTCGCCTCTTCCCTTCTTCTAGAGAACTCTCTGACTTCTCTCTTCTCTCTACCCTAGTTCTCTCACAGTCTCTCGTTCCCTTCTTCCAGAGAACTCTCAGTTCTCAGAATCTCAGCTTCTCTCAGACAGTCTCTCTGAGACTCTGAGAGTGTGAGTGTCTGTAGTGTGGAAGCTATTATTCTCCGGTGGAAGCTCTCAAGCCCCATTCGTTTCCGGTAGCCCTCAAGCCCCAAGCGAGTCTCCGGTGGGAGCGATACTCCGGTGGATTGCAGTTCGCTCCCTTTGTTCTCGGGGGTTTAATTTAGAGAAACGAAGTAATCTCTATTCTCTAAACCCTAGTTTTTTAAATTGTTAGTTTGATAGTTTGATTAGGGTTTTTTTGATTGTGATTTTGTGATTTGTATGGACTGTGATGTTGTGATCTGTTGAGAAGTTCCAGATTACTTACTCACTTGTCTCTAATTTAAGATTGTTAGTTTGATAGTTTGATTAGGGTTTTTCTGATTGTGATTTTGTGATTTGTATGGACTGTAATGTTGTGATCTGTTGAGAAGTTCCAGATTATTTACTCACTTGTCTCTAATTTAAGATTGTTAGTTTGATAGTTTGATTAGGGTTTTTCTGATTGTGATTTGTATGGACTGTGATATTGTGATCTGTTGAGAAGTTCCAGATTATTTACTCACTTGTCTCTAATTTAAGATTGTTAGTTTGATAGTTTGATTAGGGTTTTTCTGATTGTGATTTTGTGATTTGTATGGACTGTGATGTTGTGATCTGTTGAGAAGTTCCAGATTACTTACTCACTTGTCTCTAATTTAAGATTGTTAGTTTGATAGTTTGATTAGGGTTTTTCTGATTGTGATTTTGTGATTTGTATGGACTGTGATGTTGCGATCTGTTGAGAAGTTCCAGATTACTTACTCACTTGTCTCTAATTTATGATTGTTAGTTTGATAGTTTGATTATGGTTTTTCTGATTGTGATTTTGTGATTTGTATGGACTGTGATGTTGTGATCTGTTGAGAAGGAAAATCATGCTTTGAAAAGGTTCAATCTTCTATGGTTCTGCTGTTTAATGATTATACAGCCACCTACCATGTGCAGTCTGCATCCCCTACTGTGCAATTGCAATCTACCCAATCTGAACCTGTCCATTCTCAAACTTCAGTTGGAAAACCTCAGGCTAGAATGAAAAGCCAGCTTAAAAAACAGAGAATGGAGTCTGGTGGAAGCAGTAAAGAAACTGAACTCCAGATTTATCTAAGTGAAAAATTAGTGGAAGATGAAGAAAATGTGGACTTTGATGTCCTAAGATGGTGGAAGGTCAACAGTGATAGATTTCCTATACTCTCTAGAATGGCAAGGGATGTGCTGGCTGTTCCCATTTCAACTGTTGCCTCTGAGAGTGCATTCAGTACTAGTGGTAGGGTATTAGATGCCTTTAGGAGTTCCTTAACTCTTAAAATTGTTGAAGCCCTAGTATGTGCACAAGATTGGTTGAGGGCACCCAATCATCTAATCTCTGTTGAGGAAAACTTGGATGATGTTGAAAGATTAGAGAAGGGTACTGTTTTTTTTTTTTTCTAACTTTCTAGGTTTCAACTTTATAAATTGTTAATTGTTACCTTTTCTAAACTCTTTTTTGTTTTTCCTTTTTGTGCAGAATTGTCCACTGGAGCTGCTGGTTCTTTACCAAGTACTGTTGGAACACTCCCAACAATTGCTGTAATACTTTTATATAACATTGCTTTGAATGCTTTCTGACTTTCTGTTTAGTTTGATTGATAAATGTGTGGACTCTTTGAGGCAACTCAGGTAAGATTCCAGAACTGCTAATTGCTAAGTGGCTTGGTAACTTTTTTATAAATGTTGCTGCCCTTACTCAGTTACATCTCTGGTATTCTGGTATATCACTTCCCTTCCTCTCATATTCTCCTTTCTGTTTAGTTAGGGCTATGATGATGCTTCCACCATTTGTCTGAATTAAAAGGACTTTGGGTGTTTGGTATGTTGCTCTGAGACAAAACTCATGAAGCAATTTGCCCCCAACTCTAAAATGATATGAAAAAAAGCAATCTGAGCCTTTGTTATTAATTATTATTAGTTCTCTACTTCTCTTTGTCTTTATTGGCTTTAAAGTTTAAAGCCTTTAATGATTTTATAATTGAGCAGGAAGATGAGGAATGGATGAATGCTGATTGTTGAAGGCTGATTGGTGAATGGTGACTAATGCTGAATGCTGATTGCTGACTGCGGAGTACTTTAGTAATTAGTACTTAGTAGTTTAGTGTTGTTTGAGAATTGTTGATTGTGTGTATTTTTGTGAACTTCATTTTTACTTTTTGAGCCAAAGTTGGAAACTGCAATATGTAATTGTGTATCTAAATGCCTACATAGCTTTGGTAATTTATTTTAGGGTTATTAAGTTTGTTGAACATTTTTACAGTTTTTTTTTTTTTTTGTATGTTTTATAATCCGACTTCAAACCGAAATCCGACCCCCACCCGACCGTATCCGAACATGGGAAATCCGAAAGGATTTCCCTCTTAATTCGACCGGATTGGGGTAGTTTTCCCCAATCCGAAATCCGATCGGATGAACGGTTCCCCAATCCGATCCGCCCGAACCCGTCCGCTGCACACCCCTACATTTATGTGTTCCAATATCAAATATTGTTTATTGATTTTAATGTAATAAATTAAGACAATTTATATGATTGTGCGTCCAGATACAAAATGACGTCGTTTCAATTTTTTTATTTTTTTATTTTGAAAATTTCTGCCCCAGTGTTTGACAGTTAATTTTTCTTTTTAAAAAAAATCATTATTCAAAAATGTACATAATGTTATACTAGAATACACATAACTGTATACATGAATGTACATAATTATATAACAAAATATACATACTCTTTTTTAAAAGATAATACACATAATCTAACATAATACATAATAAACATAAACTTTTAACATAATACACATCAACTCTTAACATAATATACAAAAATTTCCTGATTCGAATGTACATAATTGTATGAACAAATATACATAATTGTATGAACAAATATACAGAATTGTATGAGCAAATATACATAATCACAGCAACTTCCTACCGTGCCTCCCAAAACGACGTCGTTTTGGGAGGCGCGCGACGCACAGTGCTACGCGCGCCGTGGTGTAAGGTATAACGATTGATAAATTAATTAGGAATACGGGTCAAATTAACAATCAATCGTAACGTAAAAATACAATTGGGCCACTCAACTAAAAAAAAGTGCAATTAAATCATTCAACATTGTAAAATCATGTAATTTGTCCCAAATGATCTGCAGTGGCAGATTACCAACAGGTAATTAGTTAAAAAATTAAAATTTAAACAAAATGTCTCCGATCGTTTCCATGAATCTAGATACGAAAGACAGCCACGGATGCAACACCAACGAGAGAGAGAGAGACGGACGCTGACTGTCATGGAGAGAGAGAGAGGTCACCGGCCGAAAGCACCACTGCTTTTCCACCATCGAACTCTCTGTCTTCTCTCCCACCCAAAACACCGCCATCAGCTCTACCACCCCGAGCCGAGCCGGAGATCGGAGTAGGACCACCGTCATGGCCGAACATCATAATGACAACGTCGTCGCCATTCGCCTCGCAGTCATCTCCCACCGTCCGCCGTCGCAATGCCAACCAATCGACGATTTGCATAACACCCAAAGCTTCGTCGTCGTGTTTCTTCGAGTTCTGTCACTGCTGCTGCTCCTGGTCGTAACACCGTTCGTCGCCAGGAGGGGAGCTGGGAAGCCCAGCCTCGCGGTCGTTGTCCCCTCTTTCGCTTCCGGATCCATTGAGACAAGATAGTCTCCATGGATCTTGGTTGGAGACCCTATTTTTTTTTCTTTGGTTTTAAAATAATTTTTTTAAAAAAAATTTTAATTAATTACTTATTGGTAATAACCTGCCATTGTAGGTCACTAGGGACAAATTGCAAGATTTTACACTGTTGAATGATCTAATTGCACTTTTTTAGTTGAGTGGCCAATTGCATTTTCACATTACGTTCAATGACTAATTTGACCCTTATTTCAATTAATATATATATATATATATATATATATATATATATATATATATATATATATATATATATATATATATATATATATATATATAAAAGAAAAATCCTCCTTCTCAAATTTTTTCCCCAAAACTTAAGGGCATTTATGTAATATTCTAATTTTTTAATTTAATTAATTATCAAAATATAGAAATTATATATTATATATTATTCATTTATGTAAATTAGGTAGATATATTGTTCAAATATAAATTAGGTATCTATATATAATTTTTTGGTAAGCAAATAGAAATTATATATTATATATTATTCATTTACGTAAATTAGGTAAATATATTCTTCAAATATAAATTAGGTAAATATATTCTTCAAATATAAATTAGGTATCTATATATAATTTTTTGGTAAGCAAATGTAAAATGGTAACCCTAATTTTAATTGATAATTGGTAATTGGTAATATAATAAAAATCATAACTGTTACCCTTAATCATATCTAAACACCTATATATACATCACATTCTCTTCAATACAAACAGTATCAAGTTACAAAGAACAAAAGGAAATATTCTCTGCAACTGCATAGCAATGGTATAGAGAATAGGGAGCTTCAAGAAGAGGAGGAACAAGATCCATATTCTCTGTGTGAGGTGTGACCGCCGAAACTTCCATATTCAGAAGAGCTGTTGCACTACACCTGCAAATTTGGTAAATTTCTATATCCATTTTTTTAAATAATAGAAAATCAACCAGGACTATGTGGTCTAATGGTATCTAGGTTGGACTTTCATTTGGAAGGTTATGAGTTTGAGCCTCAGTGTGGAGGCGTTATTGGCTCTTTGTGTTTCAGTAGGTTGAGAAAGTATATGAATAGATACTACAATGTAATAGAGCTAGTAGCATTCAAAAAAAAAATAATAGAAAATTATACCATTGATGAAATTTAAAATCTATCTACATATGTTATATAAATTATGACATTGTATGGTAATGGAGCGTTATAAGCGACATGATAATTTTGATTGGTGGAAACGTGATTGATGGGATGATATAAATAGTGATCCCTAATCATGACATATTTAGTGGATCTTGAAGCTCCTTAAAGGTATAAGGGAAAATCGCACTTTTTTCCCCTGAGTTATATACTTATAGTTATTTTTTCCCCTCAATTATTTAGGTAAGCACATTAGCCCCCTCAATTATTTTAAAAGTGGTGATTTTTTCCCCTGATATATTAAATTGACATTTCTACCCTTAAAGTAAACATTTTATTTATTTTACTTCTCCAACAAATTATCGTGTATACGTAGGGATGACCACGGTTCAGATCAAACTGAACCGGACACTATAGCAATTGAATTAAAAGTTTCCGGTTACGATTCAGATCTAGAACCTAATATTTGGATTTCAATTTATTAAAATTATGAATAAAAAAAATTGGATCTTGAACCGTGAATCGGCGGTTCTGGATCCGGTTCGCGATTTTGAACCGTCTTTATTTTAAAATTTTATTTTTTATTTTAAATAGTCTAAATTCAACAATAAATGTATTTTATTTTTTCAGTTCGGAACATGAATCGTCCGTTCCGGTTCGCGATTTTAATAAACTCTAAATATCGAGTTTCGATTCTAAATTGTAATTGGAATATTTCGGTTTGATTGCTATAGTGTTTGTTTGGTTTGAACCAAATTATTGTCATAATTTGTTGGAGAAGGGAAATAAATGAAATATTTATTTAAAATATTTATTTTAAGAGTAAATATGTCCATTTAACATTTCAGGGAAAAAACAGCCACTTGAATAATTCAGGGGGAGAAAGTGCTATAAGTATATAACTTAGGGGGAAGAAGTGCCATTTTTCCAAGGTATAATTTATATTCCATAATTATATGATAATTACTATTTAATACCATCATATTTAATTTAATTTGTAACTGTTGTTATAATTGTTATGGCTATGGCTATTTTGACTTGATTAATTATGTGAACTGAATCGCTAACTTATTTAGTTATTTTCGAGGTCTTCATATCCATTTGGCCAAAATAGGTACGAACTACTTAGGCCGCACGAGTTTGGTTCAATGATTTAGTAGAAAAAGCGTAAAAGGGTACGAACTACTTATTATGTGTGTCAATATAAAATATTGTTTATTGATTTTAATGTAATGTAATAAATTATAATTATAAATTATAAATTATAAATTAATAATTAATAATTAATAATAATAATAATAATAATATTTTAATTTATTACATTTCATACGCCGCTGCCTATAAATAAGGATTCTGAAAACACCCCTTCTAACAGGCAACAACTCAAATATGAAGAATATGAAGAACTCAACTGATGCAACCATCAATGGCAGCAAAGTAAACAAAAGAAGCATAGCTGTAACGGCTCAGCGTTCCCTTCACAGAGCTCTATTTGGGGAAACCACAGCCAAGAAGTGCCGAACCGTTTTTTCTAATCTTCCTCCTCAACCTTCCAAATATGCGGAGATAGAAGCAGAAGGCGAAGAGCAGGAGGAAGGGGAAGAAGAAGATCGAAGAAGAATAAGAAGAAGTAGAAGGCGAGGAGGAAGAGGAAGAGGAAGGGGAAGAAGAAGAAGAGGACGATGAGAATGAACATGAAGAAATAGCGCCGATGAACGAAGACGTTATGGGGACGAATTGTAGGGTTTCAGAGGGTATGACGGAGAAAAAATCGACTTCTATGGCTATAACCGATCCGGATGTTCTGGATTGCCTTATTTGCTTCATTCCCGTGTTTCAGGTCTCTGCACTTCTTCCTCATTCTGATTATGCTCATATTTTACTCACATCCATTTTTTTTTTCTGCTATATATAGTAGCTTAAGGGTAGACCTGTTTGATATTTTTTCCTTTTTTGAATGATGATGCAGTGTGAGAATGGGCACATAGCATGTGCATCTTGCTCCACTAACGTTTCCAACTGCCCATCTTGCGCTTGCGAGCTCTCGAGAAGGTTCTAGAATCAGTGGAAGTTCCATGCCCAAATGCAAGCTACGGCTGCAATGCTTCTCTCAGTTACAGCAAGCTCTCTAGGCACGAGGCTCTATGCATCTATACTCCATGTTCATGTCCTATGCGAGCTTATAATTTTCTTGGGTTTTCCAACGACCTATATACCCACTTTACCCGCACCCATAATTCAGCCAAACCCATTGAGTTCTATTCCCCTAAACCGATCTCTCTCAAGAAAAACCAGAGGTTCCTATACCTTCGGGACAAGATTGAAGGTACCATCTTTGTGGTCAACCATCATTTCTGCAGTTTTGGCAGTGCTGTGAATGTGATTTGCATTGCTCCTGGGTCGTCAGCCAGAAGGTTCCCTTACCAACTTGTGGTAAAGGGTGGGGAGACTTCTATCAAACTGGAATCGGTGGCCCACAATATCCCAAACTGGGATCCAAATAAACCATTGAAGGCGTTTCTTCACTTTACTAGTTTTTACACGCCTATTGTAGATTTAATGCCCATGTATTTAAATAAGTAATTAAAGTATATCATATATCATGTATAAGAGAAATTCATTATAGTTGACATTAAAATTAAACTAATGTTTGCACTTTTTTAAATATTTATTGTACTTGGTATGGTATTAAAGAGTAAGATACTACTATTTTTTATTTAAATTAACTTAAGTTTTGTTAATTGGCATTTGGATGTTTAATTTGTCATTGTCTTTTGTCTGTTTCTTTTTGTTGAAAGTCTTATTATATGCAATTGAGTTATTGGTGCTAATTTGCACAAAAGTAAAAACAAATTTAAATATAAATTATGTCAACAATCTTATTGTTATTTTTGGTGATTGCTATTTTAGTTTCATAGTTATATTGAATTTAAATATGTTGGCTTTATTGTATGAATTACAAACATGAACAGCGTCAGGAAAAATGAGTAATATATTAAAAGAAGTAATAGATAAAAGACAAAATCATATCATCACAATTGACCCTAAACTTAACGGAGGACCAATTTGGGATAGTTTTTAAAAGTTAGGGACCACATTGGGTGCAATTGAAAGTTGAAATGCAAAATTGAGAATGAGCGATAGTCGAGCGACCATTTTGAAAAAAAAACTCTATTCATAATTATGAACACTTTTGAAACCGTGCACGATTCTCCAACATAATTTGCCTTCAACAACAAAAGCAACTAACAGCCAACAATCAATCACCTTCTTCAATGACAAAAGAAATAAGCGACCCATCACCATTCACAGGTGGTTAATCTAAATACTATAACAAGATAAGTTAATTAAAATACATTAAACAAACAGAAATTAAATGATCCAGTCCTTTTAGAGTTTTAGACAACATATAGAGTTCAGACAACACCAAACCCTCCTGCAAAAAGGACACAAATAAGATCATACCTCCCTAGCTAGCTATCACAGGCGTTTCGAACCATCCTTAATACAAACTTCCAACTTGAGCTGACCACAAGAATCAATAATATCTCTCTGAACCTTCTGGCTGACGATCCAGGGGCTTCAGCTGAATTATGGATGCTACTAAAGTGAGAATATAGGTCTTCGAAAAACCCAAGAAATTTACAAGCTCCCAAAGGACACGAAACCCAAGAAATTTACAAGCTCCCAAAGAACACGAAACCCAAGAAATTTACAAGCTCCCAAAGGACACGAACATGGAGTATAGATGCATCGAGGCTCGTGCCTCCTGAGATCGCTATAACTGAGAAGAACATTGCAGCCGTATCAATCTTCCCTCAAAGTACGATAGCAAATGAAAGGAAATTCTGAGTACATAAAGTAATATGATCAATCAAATAATACTGTAGAAAAAATTAGAAAAATGTGTCAATATTTGATGGGTTGATTAGGTTATTTGACGCTTTTTATTTTGGAATATGAAGAAGTGCAGAGACCTGAAACACGGGAATGGTAAGCGAAAGGAAGCAGATAGGGCAACCCAAAACATCAGGATCGGTAAGAGTCATAGAAATCGATCTTTTCGCAGTCACACCCTCTGAAACCCTACCATTCGTCCCCGTAACGTCTTCGTTTACCGGCGCCATTATTGACGCAGATTGAAGCACCTCTTCTTCTTCTTCTTCTTCTTCTTCTTCTTCTTCTTCTTCTCCTGAACCTGCCAAATATGCGGAGATTGAAGGAGAAGGTGAAGAGGAGAAGGAAGGGGAAGAAGAAGAAGCAGAAGGCGAAGAGGACGAAGCAGAATCAGAATAAGAAGAACCAGAACCAGAACCAGAAGAAGAAGAATAAGCAGCAGAATCAGAAGAAGAAGAAATAACGGTTCGGCGCTTCTTCGCTGTGGTTTCTCCAAATAGAGCTTCAAGAACGGAATGCTGGGCATTTACTGGTAGGCTTCTTTTGTTTACGCTATTAGCTTTGCTGCCATTGATGACAGTTGAGTTCATCATATTTGGGCTGTTGGAGGTAATAACGTTTTCATATATATATATATATATATATATATATATAGAGAGAGAGAGAGAGAGAGAGAGGCAGCGGCGTATGAAATATGGGGAACTGTATCGATTGGTGCGTTGGAGTTCGGAAACGTTTGGTACTCAAATTCAAATTAAATACTCAATACTTAAATTACAAATGAGTTAATTCTAGCAATAGTCCTTCAATTAATGTGATTTTTTAAAATTGATCATTCCGTTAATTATCAATTTATTAGGCGTAGTGTAGGGGTTAAAATAGTCATTTTCTTAGCTAAAGTGTGTACATTGTTTTCGTTCAATGACAAGGATGAGAATGTCAGTTCCGGTGGATCGAAATCCGACAGATAAGAGAAGTATTCGGGATTTTCGTGGGAGGTTGTGATGAAAATCGATCGCATTGCCACCGTCCTGATCTCCGCGGGGTATGAGAATGAGTTCTATGAGGTGTATATGATTTCGCAGAGAAATGTGTTTTTTAAACAAATGAAGAAATTCGATTTTGAGAGGATTAACGTGGAGGTCTTGAGGATGTGCAGAGAATGCATTGGGATACTCTCGAAGGATAAAAAAATCATAGAAAAAATCAATATAAACAAGTAATAATGAAGTAAAAAATAATATTATTTTGAATTTTTAGAAGAAGATTGTAAAGTTTGAGAGAGAGAAAAAATTGGAAGGGGATATCACGAGATGGATCGGAAGGGTGAAATAGCGAAATTTCAAAAAAAAATAAAATAAAATGAAACGACGTTGTTTTGCATCAGGCCGCACAATGCAGGATATAAACAATCGTTATGCTATGGACCCGTGTCCAGCATACATTGTGGACACAGTAACAGTGCCGTTAGTGGCACCGTTATCTTCCACCACTTTTCTTTTTTTTTTTTTTTTTAATTTCAGACCGCTTTGTTATAGGAGCATATGTTCATAATTTTATTACTATATGGGTATAATTGTAAGTTCATGATGTCAGAGCTCTGTGTTCATAATTTCACAACTGTACATTCATAATTGCATAATTGTACATTCGTAATTTCGTAACTGTATATTCATAATTTTTGAAGCTCTATGTTCATAATTTTATCACTATATGTTTATAACTTTAAGTTCATAATGTCAGAGCTCTGTGTTAATAATTTTATAACTGTACATTCATAATTTTTGAAGCTCTATGTTCACAATTTTAGAGCTCTATGTTCATAATTTTATCACTATGTGTTCATAATTGTAAGTTCATAATGTCAGAACTCTGTGTTCATAATTCCATAATTGTACATTCATAATTCCACAAACGAATAACGCCGTTAACGCCGAGACAAAATCAATTTAAAAAAAAAAAAAACTGGAATGCCGTCGTTTTGGACTATATTGTGAACACGAATCCACAGTATAAATTTTGCCAGTGAATTTTATTCGGACTTGAAGGAAAATAATATTGGGCTACTTTAAGTAGACCAGGTCCACTAAGACCTGAACCGTCGCTAGGTTCCCAAGCCCACGACAATTCCATGACATGATACCCATTGTTCTGGGCTGGCTTGAATCACAGGTCTAGTCCTGACAAGTTTTTTGGACAAATTTCCGGCCCATTGAGGTTAATAAAAATGGGCTCACCATCTGGCCCAGAAGGTTCATTGCGTCTGCGTTTTTGTTCCAAAATAACTAGACGAGTTTTTTGCACTTTTGGTCCCACGACTATAGTGGTATTGGCAGAATTGATCCACGATTTTTGAACCTTGCAATTTTAGTCCATGACTATTGATTTTTTTGCAAAAATGGTCCTTCCGGCCACTTTTCCGTCAAAATGTCACCGGAAGAAAAATTTTCCATTTTTAGCAGGGGTAAATTTGACATTTGACTTGTCTCCAAAAAATAAATAAATAAATAAATTGGCGTTTGACTTAAAAATAAAACCCCCCCAATTTCCCGAACCCTACCTGCGAACAAGACAACAACAGTCACAAATAGTCGCTTGGATTTCGTGGCTTGATTCTCCAGTGCGAAAAATTCAAGAATGATTCCGCGTAGGTTGAGGAGTGATGGTAAGTTTTCAATGTCCAAACTTTTAGTTTGTAAAATATTTGTGTCTATATTTGTGGGTGTTTGTATGGTGTTATTGCTATGAATTTTGTTGATATGTCTATACTAGTTTACAGTGCATTATATACATTTTGCCTAGTACGAAAAGTGCAGAATATGCTTTTATATTAAGTGTATTGCAAACCTGTAGTATTATAGATGGAGACCATGTGTTCTGGGGACCAGTAATCAATTTATAATGTTTACTTGTAACATGTGGCATGTGTTCTGTGAATGGGGACCACACTCCAGTGTCAACAGACCTTGGAGTTGTAAAACTAGAACAAATGGCTTAAATCAAGCAACAGACCTTGGAGTTGGAAAATTGGAACAAATGGCTTAAATCTAAATATTGTATTTCGAACCAGTAAATGCCTTAGATATGGTTCAAATATTCTTCACAACCATTGTCTGGCACCATTGAGTTACCATATGTTATTTCAGTACCCACAAACATTTCCTTAAAAATTTGTGATAAATATTTAAAATTGCCTAGTGAATTTGATTACAAGTGAACATATTGTTTTTGTTGTTTTGTTGTGCCAGCAATTTGATTACTATTATGTCTTAGCTAATTATTCATTTCTTCTTATAACAATTTGATTATTGTTTTTATAATTTTGGTGATAATGGTAGTGACGGTGATGCAGAAAGTGATGATACTGATAGTGAGTATGAAATAGATGGTAACATATCAAATATTGATGACTTTGAATTTGATCAGAATGTGGATTCTACAGTTGAGTTTGGTGGGGTAGAAGGTATTTCTAGTGAACCAGTTGGTGTGAATAGTTGGGAGAGAAATTTGGACGAACCTAATCTATCTGATGATGCATCATTAAAAGACTCAGATAGTGATGTAGAGGGTAGTAAGTGGCCTGTTTTTAGGGCAGCTACTGATATGAAAGAGCCTCATTTAATCCTAGGATTGACTTTTTCTAGCAAAGAAGAGTTTAAGGAAGCTGTGACCAATTATGCCTTTAACAATGGAAAAGATGTAAAAATTGTTAAGAATGACAAAGCCAGACTAGTTGTTAAATGTAGGGATAGTAGTTGTCCTTGGACAGTAACTTTAAGAAAGCAACAGAATTCTTTGAATTGGAGCATCCTTAGATTGACAGATAAACATGATGGATGTTGTTGGACTTCTGAGAATTCAAGAGCAACGTCAACTGTAGTTGCAAAGAGGTGGAGTAAGGAGATTGCACATCATGATGACTGGAAAATGGAAAAATTTAGGCAAAAGGTGTGTAAAGATGAAAAGTTTCATATTAGTACACATCAAGCTTATAGAGCAATGAAGAAAGCTAAAATTCAAATTAGGGGTAATCTAGATGATAATTTCAAAAAGATTTGGAGTTACCGCCAAGAAATTATCAGGACTAATCCTATGACAATCTGTGAGGTGAAGCTCAGTGACAATGTTGAACTTTGTGGGGGGAAACAGATTCCTTAGACTGTACATGTGTTGGGATGGATATAGGCAAGGTTTCAAATTTTGTAGGCCAATCTTGGGAGTGGATGGAACTCATTTGAAGTCTGGAATTGGGGGGTTAATTCTGACTGCAGTTGGACTTGATGCTAATGACTCAATCTTTCCTGTTGCATATGCCATTGTTGAGGGTGAAACAAAACAGTCTTGGGTGTGGTTTTTAGAATTCTTAAAAAAAGACTTAGAAATCAGTGAGGGGAATGAACATGAATTTACCTTCATGTCAGATAAACAAAAGGGTTTAATAGAAGCATTTGAAGTGGTTTTGCCTAGAGTTGAGCACCGATTTTGTGTTAGGCACCTTCATGGGAATATGAAGGTTGCGGGATTTCAAGGAAAGGCATTGAAGGATGCACTATGGGACTATGCCAAAGCAACAACTGTGCCCAAATATACAACTGCACTTGGAAAACTTAGACAATTGGATGAGGATGCATATGTTTGGCTATCTAATAAGAGTCCAACAGAATGGAGTAGGTCACATTTCACAAGTGTTTCTCATTGTGATATGTTGGTGAACAATATTTGTGAAAGTTTTAATGCTGTAATTATTGATGCACGTAAACAACCTATCATTTTGTGCCTTGAATTAATCAGAAAGCAGATAATGACCAAGCTATTTGCCAATAGGGAAAAAGTGAGTAAGTGGACTGGCAATATTTGCCCTAGGATTGTGGAGAAAGTTAAGATTATTGAGGAAAAAGCAGCTGGTTATACAGGATATCAATGTGACACATATTTATTTGAGATTGGAGGTATGTATGAGGCACAACATAGAGTGGATTTGCAAAGAAGAACCTGTTCATGTAGAAAGTGGGACCTCACTGGTATTCCATGTGAGCATGGTGTTCGTGCAATTTGGCTTAAGCATGGGAAAGGCCATGTAACTGAGTACATCCACCCCTGTTATTCTAAAGATACATATTTGAAGATTTATGAAGGATGTATTAGACCAATGGCTGGCCCTGATGATTGGCCTATACGTGAAAGAAATCCACCCCTACCTCCTGTGTACACTGCCAGAGTAGGGAGGCCACAAATATTAAGGAAAAAGTCAGCAGGTGAGACAGCAAGTCACAAGATAAAAAATGATGGAGAAAGAGTGGCAAGGTCTCAAATAAAATTACATTGCTCCAATTGCAAACAGTCTGGCCACAATAATAGGAGATGTCCTAATGATCCAAGTTTGACAGAAAAACTGGTAATGCTTTAATTACTTTATTTTATTTATCTTTATATGTTTAGTTTAATAATTTTACTTATTGTTGTTGTTTTTGTTTAGAATAATCCCAGAAAAAGGGTGAGATCCAAGAAGCAACCACAAGTTCATAACAAAGCACAACCAACTGTTGAGAACACTTCAGAGCCAGTTGTTGAAAACACCACTGAGCCTAATGTTTACATTCCAGCTCCAATGGTAAGCAGTGGTTTATGATTTATGGTTTATGGTTTATTGTCTATGGTTTATGGTTTAATGTCTATGTTTTATGGTTTATGGTTTCAGGAAATGGGAGCCCGTGATGTTTTAACACAAGAAGAATATGATTTTGATATTGCTTTAAGTTCATTCAATTTGGATGATCTTATACTGTCAATGCAAGAACAAGCCCAATCAGAAGAACCCCAATCAGATTCAATTCAACCCCAAGGAGATTCGGATCAAGCCCCACCAGTTCAAGCACATGTAGAAACACTTCAAGCCCAAGTTCAAGCCCCACTAATTCAAGCCAAGAACAAAACTAATTTTAGAGTGAAACTTCCAGTTCAGAGAAAGTGTTCTACCAAATCTAGTTCCAAGTAAAATTGACTGATGTAATGGTTTATGGTTTTTTTGGTAATGCCAAAACTGTAATGGTTTTTATGATTCTTTTTGTAATGCCAAAACTGTAATGGTTTATGATTTTAGGCATGTTATTTTGTCAAACTATGATGCCAAAACTGTTGTTATACTGCCAATGCAGTTTTGTTGTCTTAAAATTGTAAACACTGATTATGGTTAATACAGCAGACTGTTTATGGTTTCTTTGTCTATGGTTGATGGATTTTTGTCTATTGATGAGCATAACACAACAGAGAATTGATTGTGGGTAATCTAAAACAGCAACAAGGACAACATGCAAAAGATAATGTTGCATATCATATACAGTAGAAAGCATGGTGGAAGTATTAAATTTCACTTGATCACTAATGAACTACAATTTTTTTCTCATCATTCTACACGAGCTGTAGTTTCACAAGTAACATAATGATACAACAATGTTCAGCATTGACCATAGATCTGCCAAACTAAAATGATCCTACACATTTCTATTCAACAACATGAACATTCATAATGAGTAAAAGAAACAAGAGCATTAGTCATTTGCCTAAAATGCACACTAACCAACCTAATTTAAAACTCTTCCTAGTTACTGCAAACTTCATTATCTACAAACTTCATTCTCTGCTTTTCCATCACCACCATCTGCTGCAACTTTGCATTCTCTGCTTGCTCGTAAGCTTCTTCGAATTTCAGAATTGCTTGAGTCAACTCTGACTCGGACATGTCTGAATCGATAGGAGGCCTTCTCCGAAATGCATGTTTATGCTTCTGCTGCATCTGCAATGGACTCTTGTTCGCATGTAGGGTTCGGGAAATTGGGGGGGTTTTATTTTGTTTGTTGTTTTGGTGAATAAGAGGAGTAGTAAAGTCAAACGCTAATTTATTTATTTATTTATTTTTTGGAGACAAGTCAAATGTCAATTTTACCCCTGCTAAAAACGAAAAATTTTTCTTCCGGTGACATTTTGACGAAAAAGTGGCCGGAAGGATCATTTTTGCAAAAAAATCAATAGTCGTGGACTAAAATTGCAAGGTTCAAAAGTCGTGGATCAACTCTGCCAGTGCCACTATAGTCGTGGGACCAAAAGTGCAAAAAACTCATAACTAGACCATCCACCTGCTCCCTAGAAAAGTAGAAATAAGGATTCTGAAAACACTCCTTCTAACAGGCAACAACTCAAATATGAAGAACTCAATTGATGCTACCATCAATGGCGGCAACAAAGTAAACAAAAGAAGCATAGCAGTAACGGCTCAGCGTTCCCTTCACAGAGCTCTATTTGGGGAAACCACAGCCAAGAAGCGCTGAACCGTTTCTTCTAATCTTCCTCCTGGACCTTCCAAATGTGCGGAGATTGAAGCAGAAGGCGAAGAGGAGGAGGAAGGGGAAGAAGAAGAAGAAGAAGAAGAAGAAGAAGAAGAAGAAGAAGAAGAAGAAGAAGAAGAAGAAGAAGAAGCAGCAGAAGGCGAAGAGGAAGAGGAAGGGGAAGAAGAAGAAGAGGACGATGAGAATGAACATGAAGAAATGGCGCCGATGAACGAAGACGTTAGGGGGACGAATTGTAGGGTTTCAGAGGGTATGACGGAGAAAAAATCGACTTCTATGAATCTGACTGATCCAGATGTTTTGGATTGCCCTATCTGCTTCAATCCGCTTACCATTCCCGTGTTTCAGGTCTCTATACTTCTTCATCATTCTCATTATGCTCATATTTTACTCGCATCCATTTTTCCCCAAATTAAAAGTGTCAAATAAGCTAATAATCAACCCATTCTGCTTTTCCTGTTTTTGGATGATGATGCAGTGTGAAAATGGGCACATAGCATGTGCATGTTGCTCCACTAACATTTCCAACTGCCCATCTTGCGCTTGCCCGATTGGAAACAACCGCTGTCGAGCTCTCGAGAAGGTTCTCGAATCAGTGGAAGTTCCATGCCCAAATGCAAGCTACGGCTGCAATGCTTCTCTCAGTTACAGCAAGCTCTCTAGGCACGAGGCTCTATGCATCTATACTCCATGTTCATGTCCTATGCGAGCTTGTAATTTTCTTGAGTTTTCCAACGACCTATATACCCACTTTACCCGCACCCATAATTCAGCCAAACCCATTGAGTTCTATTCCCCTAAACCGATCTCTCTCAAGAAAAACCAGAGGTTCCTATACCTTCGGGACAAGATTGAAGGTACCATCTTTGTGGTGAACCATCATTTCTGCAGTTTTGGCAGTGCTGTGAATGTGATTTGCGTTGCTCCTGGGTCGTCAGCCAGAAGGTTCCCTTACCAACTTGTGGTAAAGGGTGGGGAGACCTCTATCAAATTGGAATCGGTGGCAGAAAATATCCCAAACTGGGATCCAAATAAACCTCTGAAGACGTTTCTTATGGTTCCGATGAGTGATATTACTGATTCTTGTGATCAAATCAGGTTGGAAGTTTGCATTAAGAACTGGTAGAGGATTGGATCATTTTATCTTGTTATAGTATTTAGATAAATACCTATGATCGTTGATCATTCGCTTATTTCCTTTGTCATTGAAGAAGGTGATTGATTGTTGATTTTCAGTCGCTTTTACTGTTGAGGAAGCCGGCCATAGGTCGTTAGTATTGCCTATGGGAAGCTAATTAAAGTATATCATATATATCATATATATAAGAGAAGTTCATTATTGTTGACATTAAAATTAATGTTTGTACTTTTGTAAAAATATAATTATCTAAATATTTATTATACTTGGTATGGTATTAAAGAGTAAGATACTATTTTGTAGGAATAAGGTTCAAATTGGTCACTGAACGTAACCTGAAAATGCAATTAGGCCACTGAACGAAAAAAATGTGCAATTAGGTCACTGAACACTCCAAATGTATGCAATTTCACCTGATAGCAGGTTACCGTTAATTTTAGCAGGTTACCTGCTTACGTGGCAGCTGAGTTGGCATTTTTAATAAAGTTTAATAATAAAGTTTTTTTAAAAAAAAAAATAGTTAAAACAAATTTAATTTCTTTTAAAAATTTTTTATTTATTTTTTTCAATTTTTTATAAAAAATTTATTATTAAAAATTATTTAAAAATTATTAAAAATGCCAACTAAGCTGCCACGTAAGCAGGTAACCTGCTAAAATTGATGGTAACCTACTATCCGGTGAAATTGCATACATTTGGAGTGTTCAGTGGCCTAATTACACCTTTTTAGGTGTTCAATGGTCTAATTGCATCTTTTTTTCGTTCAGTGGCCTAATTACATTTTCAGGTAACGTTTAGTGGCCAATTTGAACCTTATTCCCTATTTTGTATTTAAATTAATCTAAGTTTTGTTAATTTGTATTTGGATGTTTAATTTGTCATTGTCTTTTGTCTGTTTCTTTTTGTTGATAGGCTTATATGTAATTGAGTTATTGGTTCTAATTTACACAAAAGTAAAAACAAATTTAAATATAAATTATGTCAACAATCCTATTGTTATTTTTGGTGATTGTTATTTTTGTTTCATAGTTATATTGAATTTAAATATATTGGCTTTGTTGTATGAGTTACAAATATGGATAGCGTCAAGAAAAATGAGTAATATATTAAAAGAAGTGATAGATAAAAGACAAAATCAGTTAACACTATACTTTACTTGAAATTATATCCAACAAATAAGAAGATGAACGGTGGACATTCTTCCATTTCCTAAGTCAAGAAACCCTAACAATCCATTTGAATTATTGGGTGTCTAGTGTACTCCACACCTATAGACAACATTTTTAGTCTTCATTTCTCAAAACATCTTCATTTGGTCTTAGTATTATTATGACTTGATCATTTTTAGTCTTTTGTCAATAAAATCGTTGAAATGTCATTAAATACAAAAATATATTGATCTTTTTTAATTTATACATAGTGGACTGGGCAATTATATTTTTTTATTAAAAAAAATTCATAATTGAAAACCTTAATGCCCTTGTATTTTACGGATCGAAATTTAAATTGTTTTGTTTATAGAGGACAAAAAATGGTAATGACGCAATAATACTAGAACCAAATAAAGATGTTTTGAAAAAAAAAAAGACTAAAAGTAAATTATCAGCTATAAATTTAAGAAAAAAAAATAGAAATAGCTTTTTCAAATATTTAGAGGAAATGTGTCAAACACCTTGTGCTCAGATGACATGTAGTGACCCTTTCTATGTGAGAGGTCATAAGAACGAGCTTTAGTGGATGCAGTGACCCTTTCTATGTGAGAGGTCATGAGAACGAGCTTTAGTGGATGCGTTGTTGTTATCTATACTACATTGTAATAGAGTCAAAATTACTTTTACAATGTAGTATTTGTTCATAATTATTTTCTCAACCTACTGAAGCACAAAGAGTCAATAACGCATCAACTGAGACTTAAACTCACAACCTTCCATATAGAAATCCAATGCGGGTGCCATTAGACCACAAGGTCTTGGCAATCATATTACTATTTAAGAGCCCCTCAATCATATTCTTAACCATTTCAAGCTCCACTCGTATCCAATCTCATAACTTGTTCCAAAATCGTAATGTGTCTCATCAAGCTCCAATTCCTAGCCTTTCCATTCATACACTCGTCTCAAACTCCTAAACCCTGCCCAAGTAAATGAAACCCTTTTCCCCAATTAGATTGATTTCACTCTTTGTTTGAGCCTACAATTTCAATTAGTAATAGCGGTTAGAGTTGTCAAAACAAGTTTAGCCTATCGAGTTAGTCCGTCTTACCCCACAAAAGGACATGGCAAGAGAAGATGGTGTGATTTTTGAGGAGTTTGTGTAAGAGTGATTAGGAAAGAGAAGACAGTATAAGAAAGAGAAAAAAAAAAACAAACAAACAAAATCTTATTTTCTACGATAGCTCTACAAAAAGAGAAGATGGCAGGACAGATGGCGAATAGCTCTGCAAAAAGAGAAGATGGCAGGACAGGTGGCGCAATACAAATTGCAAGACACACAACAGCTCTGCAAAATCTTCTAACTTGCAGGAAAAAAAAAAAACATCAAAAAACCAACCATCACATTTGTTAAAAACTCAACAACAAGTTTTTACTATTCCAAAATTCATGTAAAAATTTTTATTGGGGATGGCCTAAGGCTGGGATTATCCCAGCCAATGTCATATTGGCAAGATGATGTTGCAACTGCCACATAATTTGTTAATTTTTTTTTTATTTTTTTTTTGTTAATGAACAGTATTTGCAAACTTGCAACTGTTGCAAGTTTGCAAATACTGTTAAAAGCTGTTAAGTATTTTTTTTTTTGATTTTTTACTTTTAATTAAATTTAAGAATTTAGCTGGTAAGCATTTGGTAGGCCTGTCAAATTGGTGAGCCTTGCACCGTAATCCACTTTGATTGCTCTAGTAGTCGTTATGGCTTTATCGTGCGAACGTGACTCATGGTGGTATCAAGTTGCTCTTCATATTCTTTTATGCGGTTGAATTTATGGGAGATGATGATTTTTTTTCCTTGAGGGATATGATACCTATAGAATTGACAGCGCGTTTGGTTCACGGAATGAATTTGGAGGGAATAGGAAGGCTATTCCACATGGAATGGAATAGGTAAGGAATATAATATGAATTATATTATGTTGTTTGGTTGGCTGAAGGAATAGACTTTAGTAATTGTATTCCAGTGTTTGGTTGATTAAAAGAATAGAAATGGAATAGGTTTTAAAGACATAAATACCCTTATACAAAATAATAATAATAATAATAATTATTATAAATATGATTATGATATACTGAATGTTATATATATATTTATATTTATATACATGTATATGCATGTGTGTGTGAGAGAGAATAACAATAACAATAACAATAATAATAATAATAATAATAATAATAATAATAATAATAATTATTATTATTATTATTATACAAATACATATTTATTTTTATATTTATTTTCTCACTTATCCCACATCGGTTGGAGAAGTAAGAAATGGAGCCTTGAGGCTCCTATAAAAGGAGGCTCAAGGCTCCATAATTTCAATTGCAATGCTCATCCGTTAGGCAAGCTTGCAATGCCCATCCGCTAGGCATGCAGATGAGCAGACTACTTAATTTAGGAGCTAAGGCTCCATAATTAAGGAGTCTTATACAGTTAATTTATTTTTATTATATATATATATATATATATATATATATATATATATATTTATATATACATTTATTGATAGATTGATGGATAAAAATTATAATTAATTAAATATATACATTTATATAATACATTATATTTATTAAATAAATATAAATATTACATAATGTGCAAATAGTATTTTTGGTATTTGTGATATAAAAGCTATTCCCAAGGGCATTTTCAAAAAAAAAAAAAAAAAAAAAAAAGCTATTCCCAAGGGCATGGGAATAGCTAATACCAAGGTCCCCTTAGGAATGGTTATTACCTTTGTGAAGGTAATAGCCCATTCCTAAACATGCTATTCCCATGATAAAATGATCCAACCAAACGATAGAATAGGTCTATTCTAAGGAATGTTATTCCATTCCTGACCTATTCCATGAACCAAACATGCCGTGAGGTCATAAAAGCATAGGCAAAGCAAAACAAGGTTGGATGAGATCAAGCTCAACAACAACATTGTAGAAGGAGTTGTTTCCCTAGAGTTTTGACGTGGTGGTGAGAGAAAATGGTGGAGTGGCTTTGGTGAGAAACAGAGCAAAAGAAATTACTTATTTACACCTTAATAGATGATTTGTTGACAAATTCTTTAACGAGGATAAAAAGTGATACCGCCACAACAAGTGATGACCAATTTTGATAATTTTTTAATACCACTATAAAGGGAAGGGATCAGGTGTGGGTGTTGTTTTCCGTGCGATTGTGCGAGTAAATTCACATTAAGCATTATACTGGCACACTTTAAATACACAACAGATGTACATTAAACACACAAACAAAATACATTCAGAATACAAACTCATGCACCTTAAGCACAAAACTCACGCATCTTAAGCACAACCCTCACGACACCTTAAGCACAAAACTCACGCACCTTAAGTTTTAACAACAACTCACATTAAGTACACACTCACACACATTAAGTACAAAACTCACACACCTTAAGCACAAGACTCATGCACCTTAAGCACAAAACTCACGCATATTAAGTACAAAACTCATGCACTTTAAAGTTTCAACAACAACTTACATTAAGAAAAGACTCACGCATATTAAGCACACAACTCACGCACCTTAAGTACAAAACTTATGCACATTAAACACAAACTTCACACATTTTAAGCAAAAGATTCACGCACATTAGTTACAAAACTCGCACATTAATCACTCACACAACTGCACGGGAAGCATTCATTAGCACGGAAACTTAAACCCCACTATAAAAATAGGATAAAAAAGAGAATTAACTTAATAAACATCTTTCTCTCTCTTTTTTTTTAAAAAAAAAACAACTTTATCGAGTCAAGAAATAAAAAAATAAAAGAAACCGGTTTGACGGGCCGTGCAATGGTACCTTAATATGATGCAAGTTGGAGAGGTACAACCCTAATATGCACAAAGCCTGAAACGGCGGCAAGCCGGGAACGACGGCGACGGAACGCACTTTCTCTCTGTCGATCAGGCATTACACGACGAGCATGAACTTCATTTACTGAAATGCTGCCGGAACCCTAAATTATCACACGCCAAGCTGGAGTCTCCTACACCTGATCTCAACCATAAAGCTTCTTCTCCTCACCCGACAATGGTTTCGTTTCATAACTCCTTAATTTTCACTTTCTATTCTAATTTTCCTTTTGATGGATTTATGGCGCATTTAATGAATTATATCTCCAGTTATTATTTGCTAGCTCTTTGCCTCTGTGTATATATGTTGTGTTAGTTTAATAACGGTTCATGATCTAATGCAAAGAACATTTGAGATAAATTTATGATACACAATGAATAAGTGTTTGATTATTATGGGTGTAAATGGACATAAGCTTACCTGTTTTTATATTTTGCTAACTCTTAAGGTACCAAGTGAAGGAGATGATTCTGTAATGGGAAAGAGAAAGAATGGAGATCAGAGTGAGGCTGAAGGGAGCAAGAAGAAGAATAAAAAAGTAGAGTATACTCGTCCTGCTTGTTCTTGGGTGCATTTTAGGTAACACGTTCATCAGTTGAATTCGAGATGCTTTTTCAATATTTCCTTCTGTTTTCATGCTCTAGATAATGGTGCTGCCATACTAACTTTTGAAATAATGTTAGCCGCGAGTTTATCAAAGAGTACAGTGCTTCACACCCTGAATCTTCTGGCTTGAAAGCTGTAAGCAATTGTGGCTTATCAATAAACTATAAGATGACTATGTTTCTCCTTTTCCGTTTTCATTATGGTAGTCTTTCTAAAGGAATGAAATGCTTGTTTGTATACAGGCCACTAAAGCAGCATCAGATGCTTGGAAGCTGATGGGCCCCGAAGAGAAAGCAAAATACACTACTCGTGCCCGTGAGGTGTGGGATGAATACTTGAGCACTGCACCTGCTCGTGCTCCTAAGCCAAGAAAACAGGTTGTTATTTACTCGTATTTGTTTATCCTTTGGTTCCCTTTTAAGGGGGAGGGGTTGACATAGTCACCACACAGGAGGTAACAGGGAAGAAGTGAAAGCATCAAATTTCCAGGAACCAGAGAATTCTATATTTAAAACAGAACATAATTAGCAGTCAAGGAAAAAAGTAGAAATAAATGTGGAAATGTCACCATAGTTGTGGACTAAAATTGAAATTAACTCTACTTTGTCACTATTCCTAGGATAATCTTAAACTACTAATCAGTCCCAATACAGCCAGGATAATCTTTAAACCAACTCCATGCCTACTGAGACCCAGCAACCCTCTCAGTATCCTTGTACATATTTAGTAGTAGCTCCTATCCTTCAAAGGCATCCATACTCCTTGGTAAAAGCTGCAGGACTTTTCAACAATTTAAAGTGTCCTTTTGTGTTGGCACTTTTTTACCCTTTACTTTCAGCTGATATAGACACATATCAAGACTTAGAGAACATAAAGATCTAAATTAAATGCCTTCGCTGGACACTTTCTATTTCTTTGTGTATGTGTGTGTGGTTTTTTTTTTTGGTCCAATCATCGCCTCTCCCATATCACCCCCTGGCATGGTTAGTTAGTTTTTGATTTTCTGTCACTCAAATATGTTTATTATCATTAGTTACTTTTATTCATATGAATGTTGGGTAATTCTGTGCAGAGTAAATTAGTGACAAGATGCTCCCCTGGCCGTTTATTACATGTGTTACAACGGCTCTCATCTGACCAGAAGGCTTCTGTAAAGAGCATGGGGTTTGGCAGTATTCTCGGTCTGAGATGTCGGACACTTCGGCGGAGTTTGTGTCTTTGGCTGTTGGAAAGATTTAATACAGTAAGATGCACTTTAGAAATTTGTGGCGAGAGGGTTCCTTTAACTCCACGGGATGTGGAACTTGTTATGGGATTAGCTGCTAGTGGGGAAGATGTAGTTAATTCAGGACCTGATGAATCAATTCTAGAACTACGTAAGAAGTACAATGCAACAAATCGCGGGATTTCAGTGCGCCTGTTGGAGGAGCAGATGACATCTCCAGATGCAGGAGAAGATTTCAAGAGATCTTTTGTGCTTTATGTATTGGGAACTTTATTGTGCCCCACTGCAAGATTGGACGTCAGTCCTTCATTTCTCCATTTCTTGACAAATATGGACATGATCCATCAATACAACTGGGGAAAATTCTTGCTCGATCGGTTAGTAAGGGAGGTCTCTCGCTATCGTCAAGGAAAGCAACGTGCAGTTGGGGGCTGTCTTCTGTTTCTCCAGGTTAGTATTTATTAACTCACAGTCTCTATCCACTATAAAAAAGTTGACATTTATATTGATGTTTCAATTCAATGGGTTACAGCTCTTTTACTATGAGAGCATCGCTGTCAGAGCAGCATATGAATTAGCCCCAGTGGCTTTTCCTTGTTTATTCTCATGGGGCGAAGAGGAAATTACTGAGAGAGAAAAGCTAGAAAAAGAGATTGGAGGTTATGGGCTAGGCGAGGTAACAATTTTAGTTTGATTTATGAGAATGCTGTATTTTCAGATTATTCAATATCAATGTTCTAATGCAGTGTGTCTGCAAGGAAAGAGGGCTTGGGATGGGTTCAATGGGATACCATGCACTGACCAATTGTGATGCACTAAGACTTATGGAGCCAACGAATGAGGTTTGTTCTGAACACATCATTGGGATTAGACATTTAAACCTGATCATGCAATTTGGATTCTAATGTATTAAACTAGTAATCTTCCCAGGCTTAACTACTTCCATATTGCTGTAAAATAGAATTATATCTGTACTCCTTAAGTTCTTAAACCAGAAGCACTGTGTGCATTTCGCATTCTGGGCATACTTCCATCATCATGTGTAGATTATTTTCAGTATAAATTAAATACTTTACATGTTTGGTGAAGATTATTATGAAATAAAATCATGGATAGCCAAAGTATTAATCATGAGCTTTGCTAAATGAAGCTGATATATCTCATTTGTTTAGTTTTTGCTAGATTTTGTTAATTTATTAGGTGTGTTAATGACGTGGAAATGTTTACTTGGTAGGATATGGATGACCAAGAAAATGAAGATATCCTTGCAGAGGAGGTATTTATCCTTCATGTTGTAACCTAGGTTTATTAACTAAAATAGACCTTGATATCCTTACAATGTCTCATTGATCAGCTTGATTTTTGTGACTTGCTGCCTGGTTGGTTATTTACATGAATGCATTGCTGATATCTTTCCTCAGGAAAATGTTCACATTAATGGCGATGAAGGGCTTCTTGGTGAGAATATTGTGGCTGCTAATTCCAATGAAGCACCTTGTGGAAACGTGAAATATGGATGCATAGCAACCATGGATTATGTGAATCGGAAAGACCATGAAGAGTCCTGCGCCTATGCACCGTGTGTATGCCCCATTAGGAATTGCGATTTTATGGACTCGTCAATACAGCTGTCACATCATTTCAGCAGCAGACACTGGGATTCAGGGAGACGCTTCCAATACGATTGTCCTATACGCGTGAGCGTGGGCAAGAACGAGCCTTTCCTTGTACTGCAAGCGGAACAAGATGGCATGTTGTTTCTTCTCTCCAGGGGAACTGAAACTATCGGGCATAGGGTGATGGTTACCAGCATCCGCCCAAGCAACACAAAAAGCCATTACTCGTACGATCTCGTCTCAGAAAAAGGAAGCAGCAGCTCTCTGAGGCTGAAATCATTCGCCCAGAATTTTCCAGGCAGGATTGAAGCCGGGTTTACACCACAGGATTTCCTTCTCGTCCCATTTTCATACACGAATCCTTCCGGGAAACTAGAATTAGAGGTCTGTATATGGAGTTCTGCAGATGTAAACCCCATTCAGGCTGTGCCTTGTGTGTGAGCAGGAAATGTGGCATGCTGGAGAGTGGAGAGGATAACTGTTACCTTACTTTAGACTAATGATTGGAGTAACTAACGGCAATATAGAGGTTATGATCCCTTCTGGTTGAGGCACTGACTACTGAGTTCAATGGCTATGTTGTTTTTGAGACAAGAAAAACAACCTAGGCAAGGAGCTGGATGGATATATACATATGATATATTAGGAGTATTGTTCATTTTTAAACCAATCTTTATCTTCACTAATAATACGCAAGGGTCCTCGAAATATTTGTATTTACTTGAATTCATTCCATTGCATATTTGCATGTAATAATAAAGTAAAATAGAGGAGAAAAAAAAAACGCTAATCATTATTAAAATTTAAAACAATCACTACATTGCAATGAGTTGATCGGAAATTCGTCGGAGTTGATCGGAATGTCGCTGGAATGAGTTAAAAGGATGTCGGACATGTAATAGTAGGTCATTAACTGGTTACTGGTCTTCAATGTATTAAAATGACATGTTTATGAGTTTAATTGTAATTGTAATGAGGGCTTATTTTACATTTAAAAAAAAAACAAACTAAATGTGCTTCAAAATGCCCACCTTGTGATTGAATGGAATAACTGTGACCTCAAATTTGAACCCAAGGCGAGAAAATATATATATATATATATATATATATATATATATATATATATATATATATACAGATAAAATGTGAAAAGGTTTCTCCTTACATTTCTACCCTTCTCTTTCGGATTGACAAAAATAAGAACGGACGGGAAAAAAAAAAAAAAGCGGGGCCGCGGAAGAGTAAGAGGATGATGCTATCGTCGTCGGTGATGATACGGCGGTTCTGCTGCTTCACCGCCGCATCTTCTTCTTCTACTACTACTACTTCTGCCGTGAAGTCCATTTCTAAGAAGAATCGACTTGTCTTCTTAGGTTCCCCTCAGGTAGACGCTACTACGCCATTATCCTATTCCATGCATCTCAGTATTTGCAGATAGATGATATCACTGGTAATGCATCTCACAGGTATCTATACCAGTTCTCGATGCTTTATTCGATGCATCAGCCGTCCCTGACTCCTCAGTTGAGGTATTGGTTACACACTTATTTCTCAGTTTTATACTGGTACTTCTAAGATTCGAATTTACAGTGAATATCATGAACTATGCTGGATTTCTCTAACCAATTTTGCTTATGTTCCACTCAGCACATTTCCTCGCTGTTTGCTTATATCAATTTTGATTCGTTACACTTTTTACCGACTTCTAGGTTGGTTGTGCATCTGAGTCAATGATGGCTTTGTGGTATTTATCAATGCCGCATGAAATTCCTGTAGTCTTAACTTCTAGTTTGATGATAACTGCTGGATGTGTTAAAATAAGTAGTGCCTCATCAATTTATTTCGTTCAGACATAGTTATGAACATGTGGTTCATGAGTTGAGTTTTAGTATTGAAGATTGTGTAAAAAGTGAAATTGGGGGATATTGGTGCTCAGGTTACAGCAATTGTCACTCAGCCTCCTTCTGGAAGAGATAGAGGAAGGAAAATTATGCCTTCACCAGTTGCACAGCATGCTCTTGAACGAGGCTTTGCATCTGATTTGATTTTCACGCCCGTGAAAGCTGGTGAGGTAATTTTGATTTTCAATGTGTTTTGCAAGCATGTATTCTCTTTTTGATGATGCAAAATTTGTGCTGAGTTTTCTATTACTCTGCTTTCTCTTATTGATAAGTGTTAGATCTCATAGTATGCCTTGGATGATGAAGATTCTTTTTCATTTAGCAATTGACAGTACTAGATTTTACGAGGACATTGTATAAGTTAAGTTTCTTTATTTCAGGAACCCTTTCTTTCAAACCTTAAATCTTTGGAGCCTGAACTTTGTGTCACTGCTGCTTATGGGAACATTTTGCCAACGAAGTTTCTAAACATTCCATCGAAGGGTGAGTCAAAATTGCTTTCTATTACTGTACTATGGAGTATTTTGTATATTTAGCTACTCATTGAGTCACTTCCTGAGTTCCTCAATGAAACATCATTGAGTTACTTACTGAGTTCCTCAATGAAACATTCCTACTGTTACACTTTTGTTTCTTTAATTGAGACTTGAATGTGGATGTTTTCCAACACAGAAGCTCTTTTTATGGGGGTGGTGCCGTGGTGGTGTGTGGCTCTAGCCTCTAAGGGAGGAATAGTGGATTTGAACTCCTAACTTGTTCTCCCCTTGACTAGGTCATTGGCCAACTCTAGAGCATGCCTTCCTAACTAGAATACAAGCTAATGTCATAACATAACTCTTGAAGGACATATTTTGGCTGCTTTCAATTGATTCCAAAAGGACCAAAAATGAATATAAATCTCTTTCATAGAAGATTTGAAACATGCAATAGTTTGTTTGGTGAAAAAATGCTTACCTAGTACATAGATGTTTATTACCTTTCACAATTAAAACTCACTTCTCATTTTCCATGAGTGTTCCTGTGGAGCTCCTCTGATATGGTGAATGAATTGTCTCCATGATTTAAATACTTTACTAGCTTTTGCTTTTGTGAAAACTACTTTGACTTATGGTTGGAGCCAAAGAATGGCTAGGGGTTTTCTCCACTCTTCATTTGCTACATTCTGAAAATGTTGCTGTATAGACATTACTTCATTGAAGTCCTTATCTAGATCCAGGATGAGCCCCATTATGTTAAAAATTCCTGACACTGGCATCGCTCTTGTCAGTTCAAAAACTTTTTACTCTTAATGATGAGTGGCATTTCAGCCAATTGACTGGCATCTTAAGTATTGCTGATTAATGATAGAGATGGTCCTAAAACGAAATGGAAAGTGTAGTTAGTAAAGGAAAAAGAGAAAAAATTTGCAATAAAGCATTAAAGCGTACATCGATAGGGTTTCAATAGACTATCTTAGTATCTAATTTACTTTAAGACATGATGCTTTTCTTATATGATTGGTAATTCTCTCCAAGTTTACCCATTTATTCAATTTTAGAGAAAAAGAGCTATTGAATATTTTATAATGCTTGTATGTCTTTCGCAACTGCCCAATATTGTTTTTCGGTTTGACCAATCTTGTAATTATCTTTTAGGAACTGTCAATGTACACCCAAGTTTGCTGCCTTTATACCGTGGTGCTGCCCCTGTTCAAAGAGCACTGCAGGTTCGTTTCTCATGAATATTTAATGACAGTATCTAAGTGCATTTGTATTTTAGATTTAGTTTTTAATTGTAGTTTTTGAATATTATTTCTTCAGGATGGTGTGAAGGAAACAGGGGTATCATTAGCATATACTGTCCGCCAACTTGATGCTGGACCAGTTATTGCCTGTGAAAAAGTGGAAATTGATGATAAAATAAAGGTCTCATGATTTTTTCTCTCTTTTCCTGTGTTTCCCCTTTTTCTTTGCATTATGAATCTGAAACCTATTTCCACTCTGTGACGCTGAATTTTTGTCCAATGTTGAAAAGTAACAGTGATTAACTTTAATGAGATCTTTTTCCTTCCTGTTTGGGGTGTGACAAACCTGTTCATTGTTATGGGATCTTTTGAATTAGAGTACCGTTCAGTAAACTTCAATTATTCTTGCATATTACTAACATTATCTATACAATTACTCCATAAGTTTTACCAAAATTCATTTTTTGGGTTAATTTTTTTTTTTCTAGACTGATGATTTAAATTTCTTTTTGCAGGCTCCAGAATTACTTGAGCTGCTCTTTGCTCTAGGTCACTTTCTTTATATTTGTTTCTTATTCGTGCTTTTTATAAGTTGGCACCTGATGATAAGCATTCATTTTCTTTTGATTTATTGCTATTTTAAAGTGAAGCTTTCAGATATACAGTTTACCATCCCTGGACTAATTTATTACAAAAATTTTTATTTTTAATATTCAACATTCTATACGGTCTTTCTCAAAGCATTGCTATCAGATGTTAATAAGCAGCTCTGAAATGTTGATCTATGATAATATGTAGGGTCCAAACTTCTAATCCAGGAGCTTCCCTCAATTTTTGATGGGTCAGCTAGGGCAAAAGCACATGCCCAAGATGACTCTATGGCTACCCTGGCTCCAAAGGTATATAACCTTTAGTGGAATTAGTTACAATAATGGAAAGTCACTGTAAAAGCAAGAAAAGCTTTACGAACAGAGTAACTTTGTAAATATTTATTTGAGAATTTAATATATCTGTATGCATGAATTACATATTAGAGCTGCTATCTTCAAGTTGAGTGTGATGTCTGAATGTGGTGCTTGTAAAATTCTTTGGGTTACATAGATATAAGATGGTTAGGTGATTTTTGGCTTGTCCTGCAGATAAGTCCTGATGAGTCATGGCTATCCTTTGATGAAGAAGCAATAGTCCTTCACAACAAGGTATGCTCATAATTTTTCTGTTGATTGCGGAGCAATCAATGACATGCTATCCTAGCTTTTAGGTTCGAGCGTTTGCAGGGTGGCCCGGAACTCGAGCCAGACTTGCGGTCGTTGATTCCAAAAGTAATCAGACTAGCATTGTAGAACTGAAAATCATCACCACGAGGGTTTACAACAGCAGAATAGCTCAGGATGGTGAAGCCGATGACCTGTTCTTCAGTAAAGGATCACTGATAGTTCCATGTGGTGGGGGCACAGCACTTGAAGTGAGGAATCTCGTCCTTTCTCTTTCCAATTCCTGTTACAAATTGTGCTTGGTATTTAACAATGGTTGTAGACTTGTATCTTTAACTGCAACCATCAATTTTACATTCAGGTACTGGAAGTTCAGCTCCCAGGCAAAAAAGCGGTAAATGCAACTGCATTTTGGAATGGTTTGCGAGGCCAAAGACTTAAAAAGGCGCAATTACAGAGCAGCTCATGCACATAATAAAGACGCACAATGGTTAAAAACACATTGTAAGTTCTTACTGCACCCACTCTCAAGTCTAACCTGATGAGATTTCTCCCATTTATTGCTTTTTTTTTTTTTTTTTTTTTTTTTTTTTTTTGTGGAAAAAGTCTGATATGGTTTTCAAATATGCTATAGAAAGCAACTGGAACATGCAAATTGAAGGCTTGCAAATGAAATAATGCTGATTTATTTGACCACAAAACGAGTTTTGGGAAGTTTCAGATGTGGGAACGTTTTCAAAACAAGGAAGCAGAACTGTTAAGAGTTTTTGTGCATCATAGTTTATTGATACTGTGTCCGTCTGTTTTATTATTTTATTTTATGTTGTCTAAGAATGCACCGAAATGATGAGTATATGCGCAAATGGGGGCATAAAGTCCAACCAAAAACTGAAAGCAATTGGTGGCAGCGAAGGATAGAATCAGACGACACAACACAATTATTGAATCGATTGGCATATAATTAAATGGATTAAAGCAAACCCCACACCCACTTAATGAAAATGAAAGCAAACACAAAAGTGCTTTACAACATATATCCCAATATTCATACATCCATTTTCTTAAATAATAATAATAATACCTAAAAGCATTGTTGGGTACTCATGATTTCACGGCACATTAGCCTTCTTTGTGGGCTCTATTTTTCATTAAATTATTTTATATTTATTTCAATGCACATTATTCTTTTCTTCACTAGATATTTTATTAGTACATATGAACTTAGTAATCTAACCCTCTTATAGGGTTTTAGAATTCAATGGCAGATATAGATAACAATTTATATTATAGCTTTAATGATCTACATTTTTGACTCTTGGCATATCTAGTTTAAAAGTTAACTAGTTGAAAGTTTAAAAACTGCTAGCTATCTTATTTTGAAAGGCTATTTCAGATAGTGTTTCAAAATAAGATATTATTTGGGAAAATGGCACTTTTTCCCCCTGAGTTATATACATATAGTATTTTTTCTCCCTAAATGATTGAAGTGGCTGTTTTCCCCCCTGAAATGTTAATTGGACATATTTACCCTTAAACTAAATATTTAATTTATTTTTTTTCTCCAACAAATTATGACCATAATTTGGTTCAAACTAAACAAACACTATAGCAACCAAACCGAAATATTCCAATTACAATTTAGAATCGAAATTCGATATTTAGAGTTTGTTAAAATCGTGAACCGGAACGGACGGTTCATGTTCCGAACTGAAGAAATAAAATACATTTATTGTTGAATTTAGACTATTTTAAAATAAAAAATATAATTTTAAAATAAAGACGGTTCAAAATCGCGAATCAGATCCGGAACCGCCGATTCACGGTTCAAGATTCAATTTTTTTGATACGTAATTTTAATAAATTGACATTTAAATATTGGGTTCTAGATCTGAATTATAACCGTAAACTATTAATTCGATTGCTTTAGTATCCGGTTCAATTCAAACCGAACCGTGGTCATCCCTACGTATACGCAATAATTTGTTGGAGTAGTAAAATAAATAAAATGTTTACTTTAAGGGTATAAATGTCAATTTAATATATCAGGGGGGAAAAAACACCACTTTTAGAATAATTGAGGGGGCTAATGTGCTTACCTAAATAATTGAGGGGGAAAAAGTGCTATAACTATATAACTCGGGTAAAAAGTGTCATTTTCCCATATTATTTTAAGTTTTCTATATTTTACCAAACATAGCTAACTTATTTGTAGCTTATAAAATAAGCTATAAGCTCTATCAAACATAACATTTATCTAATTTTGAAGCAATATTAAGACTTTCAAAGTGGATAGCCAGACATGATATGTTTTCTTAGCAGTGTGCATAGTGAAATCGATAGTTGTGTTAATTGAATGGCTGATTTATATGGTGAGTCAAAACTTGGTTGACATATTTAGTGATTATGTTGAAATGAGTTGGTTTGGGTGCTGTAATAAAGGCCCTGTTTGGTAAAAAAAAAAAAAAAAAATAGCCTATAGGTCAATTTTGACTTATTTGACCACTATTAATTGTTTGATTTCGTTAAAATATCAATATAAATGTTTGGTTAATTAGCTTTTTGCAACTCAAAAGGCTAAAATTCAAAAATCTACTCTAAGCAACTTTTTTAATTAGCTTTTTGAGAAAAAAATTATACCAGCTATCAGCTAACAGCTAATTTACCAATACTTTTCTACAATCAGTTAATGTTATCAACTATTTATACCTTCTAATTAACCCAATCAGTTAATAGCTATCAGCTAACAACCATTTTACCAAACATGGCCAAAGTATTTTCCAGACTACCCAGTTAAATGTTTAAAATTAAAGAGTAGGGCAAATGTGTTATATATTTGGGCTCCAAAATAAAATTAGCCATCGAAAGTTAAAGTCCCACAAAGCCACAAATCACCTTATTATAAACCACTCCAACTAGCAATGGGTGTCACAGACCCACCACCCACCGCCCCAACACACACCCAAAATTCTTGTCTTTGATCCCTGCTCTTCTTAAGCTCTCTCTTCATCTCACCATCTTGTTTGCTTTAATTTGCTTGCCACTCAAGAGAGAGAGAGAGAGAGAGAGAGAGAGGTGAAAATGGGAGCTCTGGATTATCTCTCAAACTTCTGCACTATCACCACCAGAAGAAAGAAAAGGAAACCAATGCAGGTACGCTAGCTAATTTCTATGTCGTATTATATATATATGTTTGTGATTTTGTGGTTATTATATATGCTAGACGTATAGTACTAGATCTTCATACGCCCGCTTCTTTTCACTAGAGTAGAGTTGGGTTTTCTTCTTTCTCAGACAGTTGAGATAAAGGTGAAAATGGACTGTGATGGGTGTGAAAGAAGAGTCAAGAATGCTGTCAAAAACATGAAAGGTGCAGTTTATGTTTTTTTTTTTTTTTGGATAAACGACACCATAGAAACTTGCATTAAATTAGGTATATAATTATCCGACAAGATAAGGTTTGTAATTAGGTATGTAAATTAATGTTTGGTAAATTGAGTGGTTAATTAGGTGTGAAAAGTGTGGAGGTGAACAGGAAACAGCACAGGGTGACAGTGAGTGGGTTCATAGATCCAAAGAAGGTACTTGGGAAGATAAAGAGCACCGGAAAAAGGGCAGAAATGTGGCCATATGTACCCTACAACCTCGTCTACTATCCTTACGCCTCTCAGGCGTACGACAAGAGAGCACCTTCTGGTTATGTTAAGAATGTTCCGCAGGCATTGCCTCCCCCTAATGCCACTGAAGAACGCATCACTTACATGTTCAGTGACGACAACCCTAACGCTTGTTCCATTATGTAATCTCACTGTGCATGCATGCATGGGAATCAAGCTACCTTATTAGCAGCTAGATCGACCATGTTTTTTTTTTTTTTTTTCTTTTTTTGAATGACGAGATCCAGAAATCTTATCTGCAGCTATTATCAGAGGGTGTGTACTGGGTAAACTCCACTTGTGGTATTTGGCAAGATTTCCATAGTTTGTACTCCTCCACTTGCTACTTATGCAAAAGTTTTTATTGTGCATTTCTCCTAAAATTAAATTACTCCCAATTAAGAGTTAATTAATTGGCACCCACTTGAATGATTAAATTACTCCGCACGGATTTAGTTCAATGGTTCAGTAGGCAGTATTTGAGAGAAGAGACCAAGATTCGAACTTCAGTTGCAGTGTAGAGATTGTGCCAAAGTGGGCATCCTTTGTGCGCATCACAAATGTTCTGATTCTGGATGGTATTTAATGTCACACATTTAATTTTTACTAATACTCTCTTAGTTGAATCCATCGAATAAGATCCACAAAAACTTAATTGGCAACCTTATTCCTTACTATCAGGAGGCTGAAATCCCAAGAAAAGAAAGAAGAAATCAGAACTCAGAAGTCATGCAAATTAAGTCTCTTTTACAGTAAAAAACAAATTTAATTCAGTTATGTATGCACATCGAAAGCATCATGGTAGAAGTGGAATGGATTACAATATTCTGATGAGTGGTCTATAACTATATATACATATTTATTAGCGTTTAGAAATTAAGTTTGAGTAGGTGTTTCAGTTTTTCTTAGGAATGTAAGAGCTATTCCCAGCGGACTTGGTATTAATTATTACCAAAATTTCAAAAAGTTAAGGGAAAAGGGTAAAATTAAATAGGTCCATAAACTTTACTAAAATAATCAATTAATCTTTAAATTTTTAAAAGTTGTAATAAACTTATCAACATGTTATTTGAAAGCATTGAAGTCCAGAAATCGATTGCAACCTGTAATTACATGTTACTTAGAGTTCCGATAACTTTTTCGGCAATAATTACTCGCGATTGAACGATCGCCGGTCGCGTTTGGAGGAGGCGACCAACTGGTCTGCTTCATCCTTCACCTAAAGTTGCAAATTTATGTACCCGAATGTGTAAATTTATGTATTTTAAGTTATACAATTTTGCACCTTACAATTAAAGGTATGCACTTTATGGTGCAAATTTATGCACTTTAAGGTGGAGATTTATGCACCCGAGTTTCTAAGTTATGCACATTACAGTTTAAACATGTGTTCAAGTGCAAAGTTATAACACTAATTTTTAACTTTATGCACTTAAAGGTGCAAATTTATGCATTTTAAGTTATACAGTTATGCACCTTACACTTAAAGGTGTGCACCTTAAGGTGAAAAGTCATGCACCTTAGGCCATCCCATTAGTGCATTTTGCACAGTTTTTTAAAATAAAATAAGTGATGTGGATGAGAGAAGGTGAGGAGAGAGAAGATTATAGTTCCTCCTATAAAGAGTGGGTTTTTTGTGCGTCTCAAAGCACAGCAAAAGAGAAAATGAAGCGCAGTAATGCGCATTGCACATTGGCTATGGCGCCCAACCTAGGGCACACGCCGGTTGGCACGTCAGTACGTATATTATTTAACTTTTCCTGTGTCAGACCACTATTTTTTTTTCTTCTTCTTCTTCTCTTTCCTTCTCCTCTCTTCTACTTGGCACCACAAAAATCACCACAAAAATCTCACTATTGAGGATGCCTTATGTTGCAAATTTATGCACCGAAAATTTAGATATAGAGAAAGAAGAACAGAGATTTGAAAATGAAACATGCGAAGAGTAGAAGGCGGTTAACAAAAACGTTTATAGATATTAGGAAAAAGACAAAAAAAAATGTGCGTCTTTTTGTCCATTCGATCAAGATTAATTTATTATAAAGATCTCATCTTATTTTTTACTTGTGAGATTCTTTACATGTGAATCTTCCCATATATGTATAAATAAATAATTTAACTACTCCGAATTATTTTAAATTTTTAATTGAGACATAATATATCATTTAATTTAATACTAAAACTAATCCCTATGTCATAAATTTGAATATTTGCATCATCTAACACTGTGGATTGATGCTGAACATTGATGTGTGGCCATTGGAGTTGATTAATGGCTGTTTAACTTTATTTAAAAAAAAAAAAAAAAAAAAACTTTTTTGACTCGAACTTCAATAAGTAGCAATGAATATAGCCATATAGGTGCTCTTCAGAAGCTTCTTCAACTTTCCAGTGTTTTAAATGCTACTATACACTATACACTATACACTGCCTTTCCTATTTTACCACCCTGACTGAACACTATTCATTTATACCATTTAGGGGCCATTTGATTCAGGTCATCTTAGATTACCTAGGTAATCTGAATCTGGTAATGTTATATTACCTTGTTTGGTTCAAGTTATAAGATTACCTGGTAATGTTATATTACCTGAAAGCTGATGTGGCGATAATATTTCAAGGTAATGTGATTACCTTCATTTTTTTTAGGTAATCTTAGATTACCTTGAACTATTCCAACTTTGCCAATCCTTATATAATAATAATAATAATAATAATAATAATAATAATAATAATAATAATAATAATGAAATTAATATATGTTTATATAATTAAATATACATGTGTATATTTATATATTTAGTTTGTTTTTTTTTTTTTTGTTGAGAACATATTTAGTTTTTTTTTTTTTTAATATTTAAGCATTGATATACATTCATACATATAAATAAATACACACACATTATATATATATATATATATATATATATATATATATATATATATATATATATATATATATATTTATTTATTTATTTATTTAAGGACATTATTGTAAATTGATCTATATAACCTAAAATATAACCTTGAACCAAACAAGTTAATATTATATTACACCATCCAAACCAAACACACAAGGTAATCTTACATTCCCAACATCTCACATTATCTTCCAGGAGGTAATCCTATTACCTGGGGTAATCCAAGATTCCGTGAACCAAATGCCCCCTTAGTGTCTTTCTTGTAGGAGTTTTGCATCAAACTTTTACATCAAAAAGGTGTTTTAAACTCTCACCCTATTACTAAAATAGAGTTTCAAATACAACTGCACAGCCACTACACTATTGCTTTAGGGGCTTAGGCTTCTCAGTTCCAGATTTCAAGTTCCAATCCATAAGGTTCTAAGTTTGATTCTTTGTGAAAATTACATATTGACCTTCTTGATTTGAAACGGTCATCAATGAACTTTTTATGGTCTCTTGTCGACTAAGGTCAAAAACATGTATACTTTAACTAATTAAATACACCTTCAATTAGTAGTTGATTTTTTCATTAATCAAAATATAGATGCGACTTGCTATAATTGAGCAACTTAAAGTTTTCTTTAATTATAAACTCATCATTAATCCATATCATTATCTTCTTCTACTACAATCACAATCAACGTACCACTCATTATTGACTTTTTCACCCTTATCTTTACTACAATATAAATTGCTCAAGATCTCAATGAATATTGAGTTATAATTGCGATGAATATCAATATCTACTTTATTAGTAGCTTATTAGCTAGATAGTGCACTTTACCGTGGTTGCAATCTAGTAAAGTTTATGGCATGGCTGATGTGCAATTAATTAAATATATATCCAACAGTTAATATCATTTTTATCAACCTCTCAATTATAATTTTTTTTTTTTTTACCCAAAGGTATCCCTCCAGCCGATAGCCAGAAGACTAATCCACCGTCCCTACTGTCAGCACACTAATGGCCTGTTTGGTTGGGCGTAATTTGACTGTAGTTGAATTGCAATTCAGTGAAAGCCACAATTACACCGTTTGGTTTGAGGGAATTACAATTCCACATAATTGCAATTCCCCCCTTTTGCTGAATTGCAATTCATGGGCACACCCTATGAATTGCAATTCGGTGGTTGGGGGAAAAGGAAAAAGGGATGAAATGACAAAAGTACCCTTAATTATTACTACTATTATTATTACACAAGGACATTTTAATCTTTATATCACTTCTTTCATTCCCTACCCAATAATTCTATTCATCCCAACCAAACAATGTAATTTGAATTTCTACTTTATTCTCACCTTATTCTTTTCACACCGAATTACAATTCCTTTCCACCCTAATTCCTTACTCCCAACCAAACGTCCTATAAGTGGTAGGGGACTGGTCAAATGGTTTGCTCCAACTATAATATAATGCAATCAACTATTAATTTAATTACTTTTGATCTTTTTTCTTTTTTTAAACCAACCAAATCTAACCCAAAATTTTCACATATGAAAACGGCAAATATTGATAAAAGTGATAACGTTTCAAATATTTTGAACTGAATTTAATCAATTTTAAAAATTATCTCAAAGCTTTGATTTACACAAAAAATTATCATCGTATCTACATGAAAATATATTATGAATGAAACATTGAAGTCCACCTTGTGTCCCCTAATCGAAAAAATACAACATGTATGTTGTTTGTATCTGACTAATAATTCAAATCAAAAAAATTAACAATACATATCATTTATATAAAGTTAAACTTAGAACTTTATAATTATAAAATTAATTCTTCCATCACCTCTACTTCTCATTGCCAAAGCTGTTTCCATAATTTTTGGCTTTCTCTTCTGGATGAGGCAAAACCGGCCATATATATTATTACTGTTGAGTAGAATTATTTTACATATCGGATCTTATCCTAAATCTTGGCTTTGCCACCGTATTTACCTGCACCCACTAACTCGGAATCCAAATAAAGTAATATCCATGGTGTATTATTGTTATTTTTAATCGGAATATTATAAACCCACTCTAATCAATACTTTTATGCCGAGAATGTCTTATATCATACTATCTCATATATATATATATATATATATATACATATATATATATATATATATATATATATATATATATGGGGGTGAGCACATGTATATGAACAGGATCAGAACTAATAGTTTTGTGAGAACGTGCAAATTAACGTTGTTCATTCATTTAGAATTATCAAGAGCTGAAAATTTTAAAAAAAAATGTGATGATATTTTTGTAACTATAACGGTGCATTTAAACACTCTAATAGTGCATCTGCATACAATTGACAGTGCACTCATATGTATGCACCGTTAGTTATTCACGAGTACACTATTAAATATTTTCAAATTCATCGTTGTAATCACAAAAATATCATCGTATTTTTTTCATTTTTCATTAATTTTTAGTCATTAATCATCCTAAATGAACATATGAAATTAGCCTTCACATTTGTATAGGACTACTAATTTTCATTTTAAGTATGACTTTTTATATACGCATTTGAAGCTTAAAAAGGAATCAATGTAACCAACCATGCATAAATCAAGTGCAACTAAACGCGTTGCCGACAATAATGCGAATAATTAAATACTACGTAGAATTTTGCATTGAATAGAATATAAAGTGACACGTCAAAATAGAATTGAACAAAAACCATCTGTGTGCACCATAGCACAAACCCAACAACTTGGTGTGTGGTTGATTGAAAATGATTTATTCATCCTTTATCTTTAAACAAAGATCAAGGTTGGGTTTGATACTTGACTTTAAGCTTGGTCCAATAAAGATGCCTAAAATTCAGAGGGTGGATCAGTCATTGTACCGACGGTGGAAATCCTGGATTACAGTACAAAAAAAAAAAAAAAAAAACAGATCATGAGTTTGATTCTTGTCAACACTTTCTTGGTCGAATATTTCTATTGATATTTACCTCTCTTGTCGCAGAAGCGAGGTTTATTTTCAAATAATGGTTGTGATTTCCCTCGTCATGTGGAATAGGTATAAATACCTCACAAGGGGCTCATTTGTAATCCACCCAAAGAAGGAATCCAAGAAGGAAGCAATAAAGCTCTCAAGTACTTTTGCGATATTCTTGCCTACTTGTTTTTCTAGCCATTCTACCGATTACTTAGCATACTTTCGAGGGTCAAACGAGAGGCTGACTTGACTATTTAGAGGGGAAAAATAGTTAAGGCCGCACGTGACTTCGTAAAGCTAAGAGAAACGAGTCCGTGACAGTTTGAAAAAGAAAAAGAGAAAAGAAAAACAGTAAAATGCAAATTAAAACTATAAAGTAGTTGAGTATTATATAAAATATGACGTAAGCACATTGATAATAAATTAAAGCTAGCTTTATGATAATCTTGCTACTTAAATACGAACTTTTCGCATAAAGCAACAATATTTATGTTGTGACGGTCCAACTACGAAACTTTCATTGATTTTGCTTATTTTACGCTAATTCAATCGTATAATTTATCAATGTGTGATATACACACACAAGCATATAATCGAACCATGAGCCGGTGTCTGTATTAAGAACATCCTAGCCCCATGTCGCCGCACCAAAGATAATATATGCACTAAACTCCAAGGGAACGACGTGTTTTTTCCAATAATTCTCACTAAATTCCAATCCCTTTATATATATATATATATATATATATATATATATATATATATATATATATATATATATATATATATATATAGGGATGAGTTTTGTTGTGAAGATAGCTTCCCGTGCGGTTGTACCGTTAACACAAAAAGACGCACGTTAAGCATTAAAATAGTGCACTTTAAGTACACAAATCACGCACCTTAAGCACACAAACGAAGCACCTTAAAAATACAAACCACGCACCTAAAGTTTTAAAATGGCACACCTTAAGTACACAAACCGTGCACCTTAAGAACACAAATCACGCACATAAAGTTTTAAAATGGCATACCTTAAGTTTCAACAACTGATGCACCTTAAGCATACAAATCACACACCTTAAGAAGAAAAACAATGCACCTTAAGAAGGAAAATCACGTATCTAAAGCTTTACGCCGACGCACCTTAAGTTTCAACAACTAACGTGCCTTAAGCACACAAACCACGCATCTAAAGCTTTAGATCGACGCACTTAAGCTTTCAACACTGACGCACCTTAAGCCACACAGTACAAAAACCACTAACCTTAAGCACAAAAATCACGCACCGTAAGAAGAAAAACCACACACCTTAAATTTGACCTAGATGCAAAAAGATCAAATTGTCACCGCGTTTTTTTTAATCATTGTTAATCCTGGACGTTGATTTAGATAAGATTAATGGCTCAAATTTAATTACAAGGCACTAAATTATATATATATATATATATATATATATATATATATATATATATGGGATGGTCGCCTTCTCTCACTGAAGAAACCACTTGTTGCCTCTCTGGTGTGAGAAGACAATTAGTCGCTGGTGGCTTTTAAAAAAAAAAAATTGTAAATGGCACCGAAATTTTGTCAGAGGATTACTGGAATCTTAGCGACCTGTGATAGCAAATCACTAACTAATTTTTGAGTTTCATTACACCTAAATAAAATGTTCATGAATTTAAGTAAAATTTGATGGCCCATTTCACCCTTTTCCCAAAATGATTTCGATTTGTTCCAAGTTGTAATGTGGGTAATTAACTTCAGCCCATTAAAACTTGGAAGATTTTATTATATTAAAGCCCAGTCCAATATTGGACTATGGCCCAATGTGGAGCCCAATAATCCCTCTTGTCTTGGATACCAAGAGCATCATTCAAAAACAAGAGTTTTATGAAATATAAAAAATTAAAATTAAAAATTATACAAAATTGTTAAAAAAAAAAAAAGAAGAAAAAAGTGGAAAATGAAGTATTGATTTGACAATGAACAAAATGAGATTGGAGAGAGTATTAATCTTTTCTTGGAAAAAGAAAAGTTTGGAACCAAGTGCCTTGTGCTGCTGCCATAGGATCAAGTAGTTTTGATGTAACTAGGATCCTTTCACACACAATGCCTGTTTCTGAAACTCCTGTAAGTCGAGCTGTCAATCCAAAATCTCTGACCATTGGTCAAATCACACTTTTCTGCTCTCTCCCACACAAACAAACACTGCCATTTTCCAGTCCTTCTCTGTATTGTAAGAGGTACAACAATTCATGGATATATTACTCACTGTTATTTGAAGAGGACAAAAAACATAAGAAGTTTGAGAAATAGTGTGGCAAAATAATGTAATATCATTGCAGTATAAACAAGCTAAAAGTAGGGAGAAGCAATACACCCTTCATTTGCCAAAAGAGAACAAAGCAACTAAACACTGCTAGCAATGTCTGCTATTGATGAAATTGAGCTTCTGAAGATTCAGGTCACACTCACATTCCCTTCCTTTAACATTTGCCTCTCTCATTCTTTCTGTAACATGTTTCTGTCTTTTTCTTCTTGTTCTTGCAGACCCATGTTCTCAAAGTTCAGATTAACTGTGCAGGGTGCAGGAAGAAAGTGAAGAAACTCCTCAAGAAGATTGAAGGTATGAAACCTTCTTGTTCCATCTTCCATGTTTTACTTTAGTACTCTAGAAAAATGTCATTCTTTGATTGCCTAAACTATAGTGTTGTGTGGGGTTTTTACTCAGGGGTTTACCAGGTGAGCATGGATGTTGAAGAGCAGAAGGTTATAGTATCTGGGAATGTTGATGCTGAAATAGTGATCATGAGGCTACTCAAATCAGGCAAACATGCAGAGCTTTTGTCACTTCAAGAACTGGCAAACCAAGAAAAAGGATCTGAATACAGGGATGGTGAGTACCAGAACCCAGAGCTCCTCAATGGTGATTACCACAACATGGAACTTCTTAAGTGGCTGAGTGATGAAAACTACCAGAACCAAGTTCACAGCCAAATCAACAGTGTCAGGGCATCCAAGAGACAGCCTATGTTACCCCAACTCTATGAGACTCTGGGCAATGAAAAGCCATTTAAACAGAGTATGGCATTTGAGTCCCAGGAAGGAGAAAGAGACGAGAAGTTTTCTACAACAATGGAGATGGATAATCCACATGTACATCAGGACTATGCAAGCATTGTGGGAAGAAAGGAGAATTCCATGATGGATTCCCTAGGTCCCAAATCTAACTTTCCCTATTTTACTACTATGGAAGGGAAAGAACATCCAGAGTTAGCTGGTCAACAATATCATTATCCACCATACAACATGATGAATAACATGCAGGTGTACCAGTACAGGAATCCATCTCCCATGACAGTGAACCCCTATATGCAGAGAATGCATCCCATCGAACACATGGACAATGTGTACATGAATCAACCAAGGATGGTGATGGATCATAAATTTGACATGGTTCCACCTATCGGCTACTGGCAGAACATGAACATGAATAGCTACCATATTTGAGTAAATTGATCACCCCGTCCCAGTTCGAGTCTGATAAGACTATCAATAGCAGTAACATTATATCAAATAAAGCATCCTAGTTCGAGTATGATAGACTATCAATAGCAGTAACATTATATTATATAAAGCATCCTAGTTTGAGTCTCATAGACTATCCATAGCAGTAACATTATATTATATAAAGAATCAGTCTTTGGGTGTTTATTGTACCTACCAAGTATTCTCAAATTAAAGCTGAAACACTTTTCTGCATTAAATTCTACAAATGCCAGCTCCATTTCTTCAATCACCTTAAAGAGATAGAGAATCAAGGTTAATGTTCAAGGATTTTCTTCTAGACAAAGATAATCTATGCATGCTTGTTGAAAATGGAATGATCAAAGACAAGGATAGGACATTCATACCTACAAAAGTTTGGATGCCAAGAAAAGGCTACAACTTAGCTAGCGTTTCTGGGCTTTCCTACGTCTAGATTCTACCTTCTGCCACTTCTTTCTTGGTACCACTTTGCTCTTCGGTTTTAACTTTAGTTCGGGAGAGAACTTATAGTTTGGATCTCTCATACGAGCTTGAATGTCCTTAAAGAACTGCATATTCAACTTCTTAGGTCCCCCCTGCCTGAGTTCAGCATATTCTGGCCCTGAAATGATGTTCTCAAAAGCCCCTATTAGAATGTCCAGATCACTCATGACCTCCCACACATTGATGTACCTACCATCAGGCCCCTTCTTCAATTTCTTAAGGGCATTTTCAACTGCAAGTTTCCTAGCTTGCTTTCCGGGGGATAACTCCTCAGGTTCCTCATCTTTTAAAGCCTCAGAGAGTGTTTGATACTTTGGCTTTTCATCAAACTCAAACAGTTTATCTATATACTCATCACTTTTCTCATTCGGGTACGCTTCTGTAGGAATGTCATCATCATCATCTCCTTCGCTACCCGTCCACAGCGTCTTATCTTCATCACTACCAGACCACACACTTCTTAGCTCATCACTGTCATCTGCATCAATTCGATCTGAGTGTTCTATAGCTCGCTGTTTGGCCTTTCTGATTTCCTTCTTCAAAGAACTTGGTCCATTTTCAGGCTCACTCTCGTCCTCACTTCCAGTCCATAAACAGTTATCCTCATCTTCCATTTCTTTAGCCCAAGTTTTCCTGAATTCCTTGGCTCCAGGTACACGACCCTTAAATAGATCATAGTAACGTCTACTGCGAGCATATGATCGCGATGCTGCAATAAACAAATGGACAAAGCATTACTAAAAATTCAGGCTATATTTTCTACTTCATCAAGAATCTAAATGCTTTCATTAAATTAATTCACACAGTTGAAACCACGGTATAGAAACTGCAGCTATTCAGAGAGTAAAAAGTTTCCATTTTTCTGTGAGGAAAATTGACAAACAGGTAATCCGCGTTCTGAAAGAGGCCGCAAACCTTGGGCTTGAAGGAGATAGGAGAAAGCTGAGCCATTACGAAACGGATTGCCTGCATTGGAGAATCCTTGACTTGTGGCGAATCTGAAGATGGACGGAAGCCATGACAACTGGTAGAGCCTTCTGCCCATAATTTTTCGTTTTCCGCCTAACCAAGCCTTTGCTAGCCAAGTTCCACAACGTTTTTTTTTATTATTTTTATTTGAAAAAAAGTTCCACAACGTTATTATATACGGAGTATATAATAAAAATAATTGTGTATACAGTTAAAAAAAAAAAAAAACTAATTTCAGTTAATAAATTATATACATATTACAATTGATATATTATGTACATATAGTTAATATATTATTGAAATTTTAGTATAAAATAATATTTTTAAGTAACTATTTTGTAGTATAAATATATGTGGGTTCACTTTCGATTTGGACTGGGTCAAAGTAAATCTGCACTCTTTGTAGTGACACAAAGAAATTGATATATTATATGTTCAAAAATAGATAATGAGCGAATGTGAAATTGATTCTCGAAATAGACCAATTTAAGTTGAAAAATGGAGGTGAAAAGACTTGAAAAAACATTTGTCCAAAGTTGATTTGAGCCGTGAATTTGCACCACTATTATATACAAGACCCTTAGGAGTGTGAATTGTATAATATAAATGCTCTCTGTGACCAACATGGTTGGCGTGGTGGTTCAGCACCTATTCCCTTATCACTTAGTGTGTTGACCGTTGAGACGGAAGATTAGTCTTTTGGATTTGTAATCTCAGACTCGGGACTATTATGCACATAATATATTAATTGTGAGTATAATTTGAAGTATATTGTGGTTGATGTTATAATTTGCACATATTTTATTACTCCATACGGTTGGAAAATGAGTTGAAGTGGAGGGCAGGCGACAGGCGTGCCAATGATCGGGGACCATTTAACTTTACTCTCCCACTTATGGATTTGAGGATTTCTGCAAAAGCTAATAATTATGGCCGATCCTTTTGAAAGGGAATGTAAGGCGAGAATACGAGGATAAGCTGTGAATCTCCGTCGTCTCCACTTCTTTGTGGTTTAATGTAAGTGGGAATCTCCAACGTACATATATCTATCAACAATAGATTCATGTTTAGATTCAGATTCAGAGCAGAAAAATGGGGAACAACATTGGAGGAGGAAGCAAGACAGCCAAGGTGATGAAGATGAGCGGCGAAACCTTCAAATTAAGAGCAACAACCGCCACAGCTTTCGACGTTCTCAAGGATTATCCAGGCCACGTGTTGTTGGATTCGGAATCGGTGAAGCGTTCCGGGATCAGAGCGAAGCCGCTGGAGACTCAACAAGAGTTGAGGCCTAAGAAGGTTTACTTTCTCGTAGAATTGCCCAGGTTTCCGGACGAGGAAAGGGCGATGTCTGGCCGCGCCGCAAAGGACCGGCTCGAGTGTCTGATGTTAAAGCGGAGATCAATGTCTGATGTGTCGGCGGCGAGGCAGAGCTCCGGCGGCCCTGTTCAGTTGAAGATTAGGCTGCCGAGGAATCAGGTTGAGAAGGTGATTGGAGAGGGCAGAGACGAAGCCGAGGTTGCTCGCAAAATCTTTCATCTTTGTCTGCAAAACTCTTATGATATATGCTGATCACTATTATCTTGTCTAATCAATCCTCAACCCTCTTTGATAATTAAGATTTGTTAATATATATATATAATCATAATCAGGTTAGAACCAATCTGATTATATATCAATGCAAAATTATATAGGAAATTAAAGGTAAACAAACAATATATAATAGTAGTACTTTCGAGTTCCTCCAGAAAGATTGAAAAACATGGAAATTACATATCAATTTTCAAATTTGATAGTCGTTTAATGTATAGTATAGTCTATTGGGTGATATTAGAAATCATGGATGGTAATAATAAAATTAGTATAGTCTAGTGACCATTTCAAAAGAATTAAAAAAAAAAAAACTCTTAATATAATTAGCTTTAAGCATAATGAATGATTTCACTGTTTTATTCTCCTCCGGGATCATGATTCCATTTACAAGAAAAACCAAACAAATAAACATATAACCAGCACGGGCTTTGTTCAATGATTCATAGACAAATCTAGATGACCAGATTATACTCAAAATAAACAGATTCTTTATGAACACGTATTTGGCCTTATCTGCTGAGTTCTTGTGCGGCTGCCGAGGTGACTAGCTAATTAAGATTCCAGTATAAGATTTCCATTTGAATCATAGGAAATCTTGCCTGAAAAATCCCAGCGTCGACATTTTTCACCTTTAACAATGGTTTTCTTCCATATAGCTCGATCATCGTCATCGTTCTCACGATCCAAAACCCTGTCTTCATCGTCGTTATCATCATCCTCCACTTTCCTCCAAGATATCATTTTAGACATCAAAAGAGCCTTGCTGCTTATACCGCTGCGAAGTTTTATCGGCTTCTTCTCGCCCAGCTTTCCGGTTTGCCTCCGTGACTTCGTCGCCGGCCTTTTAGACCCGCAAAACAAGGCTGAAATGGAAAAAATCGCCATGGTAGAGGTGGTAATAAACTATAGATGTGATTTATGGATTCTGGCAATTCAAACCGGGGTGTGATCGATGATCCTAGTTCGATCTGGCAATTTTTAAGGATTGAGAATTGAAGTGAAACAAGATCGAGTTCAAGGTGGCTATAAATGGAAACGTTAGGTATGGAATGGGATTATGGGAGAAAGGAGCAGAGGTGACTTAAGACTGTGGAGAAGACTACCGAGTGAGGCTTGACTTGACTCACAATTGCAGTCTTCGCTGAAGCTTCTGTTAGAATATAGCGCTACGACGTTACATAATACATCTCTTCCATCTATCCAAAAAAAAAAAAAAGAGTTGGTCCAATAGACACTATTTAGGAGAAAAATATGAAAAAATTAGTGTATATATCTGCAATTCGATCAGTTAATTTTTAGATGGTAGATTATAAATAAAGACACATGATCGAGCTCCAATAGTCGCATTATATTGCAGGAGTTACACCCTACGTAGTGGGTGAGACACTTAGTTACCATGATTTATCCGTCCACTATCCCGTCGAGTTAGTGTGTGGGCCCTGGGGTGAAGAAATTTCTCCTTGGGGGCAAATATATATGAAAAAATTAACTAAAGAGAAAATCTTAATAGAGAAAAAAAACTTGTTCCTTATTAGTCTAAAATCAATCTCTACATTAAATTTCATAGTATTAAGTATGTAATACTTCCAATTATATTATATTTATGATCATAGTTATGATTAAATCATATCATGCCTAAATTTAGGGGATCACAAAGTGGATTTGACGAATTTAGTTAACAGATCAGAGCGGATTTGATGGATCGTTATAATATTTCATCTTTCAAAATTGAACTGTTGATCATAGACCACCCTTTTTTACTGCAAATTACACTAATTACTGCTAATCTGTTATAGATTTTCTAATTACGGTTAGAGCTAATACTCAAAATAGTCCTCGACTATAGTGGTTTTACTCGATTTCGTTCTATATGACTTTGGTGACCTAATATAGTCCCAGACTTTTGTATTTTTACTCACTATAGTCCTCCGTTTGTTAATCCGTTAAGTAGGTGTTAACTAGAAGGTCAATTTTGTAATTTCATATGTATTCCACACAATTCATACGTATTCCACAATGTTTATACATTCGTATCTCAATTCCTTTATGCATATATTCATACAGTAGGCTTGCAAATGTACGCAAAAAAAAAAATACAATAGGCTTGCAATGTTGGAGTCCGGCGGTCGGCGATTGTCCCGCGACTGTCATCCTCCTTAGCTGATCTCACCCACTAGATTCTCTCATGCCTCTATTATCTTCACTGCCGAAAAATTGTTCATCGTGATATCAAACCCTCCAATTTGCTCATCAATTCTCAGCGTGCCGACGGAGGACTATATTGTCGCGGGACAATCGCCGACCACCGGACTATTTTGAGTATTAACTCTTATGGTTATTTATCATGGTCCATTTGTCATAACTCATAAAGTCATAAGTAATGACTTGGATTAAAAGTTGAAATGCACTGTGGTGTAGAGTGTAGACTCGTGGTTGACCCGTAAAGTTTAGTGTAAAAAGAAGATTGTATGACTGAGTAAAAGATTGAAAACCAAGCAATCTTTGTTGACCACTTTTTTTAAAAAAATACTCCGTAATAAATTACCAGCCAAGTTTAATTAGTGTGCGGTTTGACATTTTTTTTAAAAATAATACCAGTAAAACGAGAAAGTCTTTTCACACCACCTATTTTACTATTTGCACCACTTATATAATAGGTCAAATCACTTTATAGGTGGTGCTAATTAAAAAATATTATTTGCACCAACATCTTTAATGTGGTCAAAGACTATATATATATATATATATATATAGGGCCGGATTTTAGGCTGTGCAAGCTGGGCTACCGCACAGGGTCCCCAATTTTAGAGGGGCCCTAAACTTTAGAGGTCCAATATTTAATTTTTACCTAAATAGTTTAGAAATAAAAATTCAAAGTTTTCAATTAAACTTAAATGGTTTCATGAAGAGATGGTAAGAATGTGCATTTATTGTATTTTAACTTGGAGGTTAAAAGTTCGAAACTTACATGTATTAGTTTTAAAAATTATAATTTTGGTAGGGCCACAATTATTTACCAGAACAGGGCCACTAAAACTTAAAATACGGCACTATATATATATATATATATTTATTTATTTATTTACAATTAAATTATTAATTTGTTAAAAAAAGGATAAACTCCTCGCCTTCTCCGGTGAAAAGGCGATGGACATACCTTCTCACTGGAGAAGGGGAGAAGGCAACCCAGAGGTCGCCTTCTCACCGGAGAAGGCGACCCATATAGCCTTCTCAGGTGAGAATGCAGCCCAGTTGCCTTCTCCGATCTCACCGGAGAAGGCATGATTTTTTTTTTAATGAATTAAATTTTGAATTAATTAATTATTATTTAAACTTAATAAATGTGATTTAATTAAGGTGGTGAAATGTCCGGATGCCAAAGCTTCCTAAATCTACTGAAGCGAGGAATACTAGGATCAGAGCGCTAGCATCCCTTGCTCTCTATCGATTGCTCACTGCCGTCTCATCCGAACAAAAAAAGGAAGAAGGGGGCATACTTCCCTCCGTCTCAATGTGACCATCGATAGCTTTGTCTATTTCAATAGAATTCTCGGTCCTATCTTTCTCAATTCATCGATCGACGGCCACCCTACCTACTTTTAATGATAGATATAAAAGGTGGAAGAGGGAATCAACTAGGAACTGGAATCTCAAATAGCATTTTGACCACCCATTAGGCTATTTGCACCACCTATGTATTTATTATAAGTTTTTAACTTTTTATACTTTCAATTTACTTTATACCCCATTTTGGTCAAAGGGTGGTGCAAATAGCAACACCCCAGTAAAAAACCTCGCAAACCGCCGTGGGGTTGCCTAATAGTCTAATACTAAAGTCATGATTGTTATATTGATGCCCTTGGGATTGGGGATTCAATCTTTTGGGAAGAATGATTATTATATTGCGATTTTTATAAAAAATTGTTGAAAAAAATAGCATAAAATGACATTTTAAGTAGCTATTTTGTGGTACAGTTATTAGTGGGGTCCACTTCAATTTAGGTCGTGTCAAAGTGGATTCGATTTGGGAGGCAACAAATAAAGTTTTAAGAAAAGAGTGTTTCGTTCGTGTTTTATCGGTTCAAGTAAGCGGGATTATGTTTCAAACAGATAAATTCCTTATTTTGTATATATACTGGTTGGAATTATAATCTTTAAGATTATAAATTCCATTGGTTTATATATATATATATATATATATTATATATATATATATATATATATATATATATATATATATATTTCAAAGTAGAATGCAGGATCGCGTTCAGTGTAGATTGTCCGTCAAGGAGAGAACTGAGAACCATTCAGCGCGCACCACACGTCCAGGTGCACCTATAGTTATAAGTGTTTGGAAAAAATGTAAGCCACCCATTAATTATGTGGTTCATGTTAAATCATGATTTAACATTTACCACAAATTAATGAGGTTTAATTTCGTGAAACGGAACGGCCAATTCATTTTCCGAAATAAAAAAATAAAATACATTAATAGTTGAATTTAGACTATTTTAAAAATAAAAAATAAATTTTTAAAAGAAAGTTCGAACCAACAGTTCAAACTGGATCCGGAACCGTGGACTGGCGGCTCAAAATCAAAATCAAATCACGATCATATATACTTATATGTGAGAATCATAATAAATGCGAAAAAGAACATACACAATTTGCAAATATTGTAATTCTAATTTTAAGTTAATGATAGTAGTTGTTCCGATTTGAACCGGTGATTTACGGTTCAGGATTCAATTATTTTGTTTCATGATTTTAATAAACTGAAACAATCCAAATAATGAGTTCTGGTTCTAAATCATAACCGAAAACTTTCGATTTAATTGTTATAGTGTCCAGTTAAGTTCGAACCAAGTCTTGAGCATCCGTATGTATAAGCAATAATTTGTTGAAGAAGCCCTCATGGGTAGCTCAATTGGTCATAGAGGTGAAACTTTGGAACAATGACCAGGGATCGAGTCTCACCAGCGGCAGTGTGGGAGCAACCTCTCAAAGTGAGGGGGTTTCTTAAGTCTGTCGGGCCGGGGT